CGTGCTAGCAACGCAGCAGAGCGTGCTAGCAACGCAGCAGAGCGTGCTAGCAACGCAGCAGAGCGTGCTAGCAACGCAGCTGAGCGTGCTAGCAACGCAGCAGAGCGTGCTAGCAACGCAGCTGAGCGTGCTAGCAACGCAGCTGAGCGTGCTAGCAACGCAGCAGAGCGTGCTAGCAACGCAGCAGAGCGTGCTAGCAACGCAGCTGAGCGTGCTAGCAACGCAGCAGAGCGTGCTAGCAACGCAGCTGAGCGTGCTAGCAACGCAGCTGAGCGTGCTAGCAACGCAGCAGAGCGTGCTAGCAACGCAGCTGAGCGTGCTAGCAACGCAGCAGAGCGTGCTAGCAACGCAGCTGAGCGTGCTAGCAACGCAGCAGAGCGTGCTAGCAACGCAGCTGAGCGTGCTAGCAACGCAGCAGAGCGTGCTAGCAACGCAGCTGAGCGTGCTAGCAACGCAGCTGAGCGTGCTAGCAACGCAGCAGAGCGTGCTAGCAACGCAGCAGAGCGTGCTAGCAACGCAGCTGAGCGTGCTAGCAACGCAGCTGAGCGTGCTAGCAACGCAGCAGAGCGTGCTAGCAACGCAGCTGAGCGTGCTAGCAACGCAGCTGAGCGTGCTAGCAACGCAGCTGAGCGTGCTAGCAACGCAGCTGAGCGTGCTAGCAACGCAGCTGAGCGTGCTAGCAACGCAGCTGAGCGTGCTAGCAACGCAGCTGAGCGTGCTAGCAACGCAGCTGAGCGTGCTAGCAACGCAGCTGAGCGTGCTAGCAACGCAGCAGAGCGTGCTAGCAACGCAGCAGAGCGTGCTAGCAACGCAGCAGAGCGTGCTAGCAACGCAGCAGAGCGTGCTAGCAACGCAGCTGAGCGTGCTAGCAACGCAGCAGAGCGTGCTAGCAACGCAGCAGAGCGTGCTAGCAACGCAGCTGAGCGTGCTAGCAACGCAGCTGAGCGTGCTAGCAACGCAGCAGAGCGTGCTAGCAACGCAGCTGAGCGTGCTAGCAACGCAGCTGAGCGTGCTAGCAACGCAGCAGAGCGTGCTAGCAACGCAGCAGAGCGTGCTAGCAACGCAGCTGAGCGTGCTAGCAACGCAGCTGAGCGTGCTAGCAACGCAGCAGAGCGTTTTAGCAACGCAGCTGAGCGTGCTAGCAACGCAGCTGAGCGTGCTAGCAACGCAGCAGAGCGTGCTAGCAACGCAGCAGAGCGTGCTAGCAACGCAGCTGAGCGTGCTAGCAACGCAGCTGAGCGTGCTAGCAACGCAGCAGAGCGTGCTAGCAACGCAGCTGAGCGTGCTAGCAACGCAGCTGAGCGTGCTAGCAACGCAGCTGAGCGTGCTAGCAACGCAGCTGAGCGTGCTAGCAACGCAGCTGAGCGTGCTAGCAACGCAGCTGAGCGTGCTAGCAACGCAGCTGAGCGTGCTAGCAACGCAGCTGAGCGTGCTAGCAACGCAGCAGAGCGTGCTAGCAACGCAGCTGAGCGTGCTAGCAACGCAGCTGAGCGTGCTAGCAACGCAGCTGAGCGTGCTAGCAACGCAGCAGAGCGTGCTAGCAACGCAGCAGAGCGTGCTAGCAACGCAGCAGAGCGTGCTAGCAACGCAGCAGAGCGTGCTAGCAACGCAGCAGAGCGTGCTAGCAACGCAGCAGAGCGTGCTAGCAACGCAGCAGAGCGTGCTAGCAACGCAGCAGAGCGTGCTAGCAACGCAGCAGAGCGTGCTAGCAACGCAGCAGAGCGTGCTAGCAACGCAGCAGAGCGTGCTAGCAACGCAGCAGAGCGTGCTAGCAACGCAGCAGAGCGTGCTAGCAACGCAGCAGAGCGTGCTAGCAACGCAGCAGAGCGTGCTAGCAACGCAGCAGAGCGTGCTAGCAACGCAGCTGAGCGTGCTAGCAACGCAGCAGAGCGTGCTAGCAACGCAGCAGAGCGTGCTAGCAACGCAGCAGAGCGTGCTAGCAACGCAGCAGAGCGTGCTAGCAACGCAGCTGAGCGTGCTAGCAACGCAGCAGAGCGTGCTAGCAACGCAGCTGAGCGTGCTAGCAACGCAGCAGAGCGTGCTAGCAACGCAGCAGAGCGTGCTAGCAACGCAGCTGAGCGTGCTAGCAACGCAGCTGAGCGTGCTAGCAACGCAGCTGAGCGTGCTAGCAACGCAGCTGAGCGTGCTAGCAACGCAGCAGAGCGTGCTAGCAACGCAGCTGAGCGTGCTAGCAACGCAGCAGAGCGTGCTAGCAACGCAGCTGAGCGTGCTAGCAACGCAGCTGAGCGTGCTAGCAACGCAGCTGAGCGTGCTAGCAACGCAGCAGAGCGTGCTAGCAACGCAGCAGAGCGTGCTAGCAACGCAGCAGAGCGTGCTAGCAACGCAGCAGAGCGTGCTAGCAACGCAGCAGAGCGTGCTAGCAACGCAGCAGAGCGTGCTAGCAACGCAGCAGAGCGTGCTAGCAACGCAGCAGAGCGTGCTAGCAACGCAGCAGAGCGTGCTAGCAACGCAGCAGAGCGTGCTAGCAACGCAGCTGAGCGTGCTAGCAACGCAGCTGAGCGTGCTAGCAACGCAGCTGAGCGTGCTAGCAACGCAGCTGAGCGTGCTAGCAACGCAGCTGAGCGTGCTAGCAACGCAGCTGAGCGTGCTAGCAACGCAGCAGAGCGTGCTAGCAACGCAGCTGAGCGTGCTAGCAACGCAGCAGAGCGTGCTAGCAACGCAGCTGAGCGTGCTAGCAACGCAGCAGAGCGTGCTAGCAACGCAGCAGAGCGTGCTAGCAACGCAGCAGAGCGTGCTAGCAACGCAGCTGAGCGTGCTAGCAACGCAGCTGAGCGTGCTAGCAACGCAGCTGAGCGTGCTAGCAACGCAGCAGAGCGTGCTAGCAACGCAGCTGAGCGTGCTAGCAACGCAGCTGAGCGTGCTAGCAACGCAGCAGAGCGTGCTAGCAACGCAGCAGAGCGTGCTAGCAACGCAGCAGAGCGTGCTAGCAACGCAGCAGAGCGTGCTAGCAACGCAGCAGAGCGTGCTAGCAACGCAGCAGAGCGTGCTAGCAACGCAGCAGAGCGTGCTAGCAACGCAGCAGAGCGTGCTAGCAACGCAGCAGAGCGTGCTAGCAACGCAGCTGAGCGTGCTAGCAACGCAGCTGAGCGTGCTAGCAACGCAGCAGAGCGTGCTAGCAACGCAGCTGAGCGTGCTAGCAACGCAGCAGAGCGTGCTAGCAACGCAGCTGAGCGTGCTAGCAACGCAGCAGAGCGTGCTAGCAACGCAGCTGAGCGTGCTAGCAACGCAGCAGAGCGTGCTAGCAACGCAGCAGAGCGTGCTAGCAACGCAGCAGAGCGTGCTAGCAACGCAGCTGAGCGTGCTAGCAACGCAGCTGAGCGTGCTAGCAACGCAGCTGAGCGTGCTAGCAACGCAGCTGAGCGTGCTAGCAACGCAGCTGAGCGTGCTAGCAACGCAGCTGAGCGTGCTAGCAACGCAGCAGAGCGTGCTAGCAACGCAGCTGAGCGTGCTAGCAACGCAGCTGAGCGTGCTAGCAACGCAGCTGAGCGTGCTAGCAACGCAGCTGAGCGTGCTAGCAACGCAGCAGAGCGTGCTAGCAACGCAGCAGAGCGTGCTAGCAACGCAGCAGAGCGTGCTAGCAACGCAGCAGAGCGTGCTAGCAACGCAGCAGAGCGTGCTAGCAACGCAGCTGAGCGTGCTAGCAACGCAGCAGAGCGTGCTAGCAACGCAGCAGAGCGTGCTAGCAACGCAGCAGAGCGTGCTAGCAACGCAGCAGAGCGTGCTAGCAACGCAGCAGAGCGTGCTAGCAACGCAGCTGAGCGTGCTAGCAACGCAGCTGAGCGTGCTAGCAACGCAGCTGAGCGTGCTAGCAACGCAGCTGAGCGTGCTAGCAACGCAGCTGAGCGTGCTAGCAACGCAGCTGAGCGTGCTAGCAACGCAGCTGAGCGTGCTAGCAACGCAGCTGAGCGTGCTAGCAACGCAGCTGAGCGTGCTAGCAACGCAGCAGAGCGTGCTAGCAACGCAGCAGAGCGTGCTAGCAACGCAGCTGAGCGTGCTAGCAACGCAGCTGAGCGTGCTAGCAACGCAGCAGAGCGTGCTAGCAACGCAGCTGAGCGTGCTAGCAACGCAGCAGAGCGTGCTAGCAACGCAGCAGAGCGTGCTAGCAACGCAGCAGAGCGTGCTAGCAACGCAGCTGAGCGTGCTAGCAACGCAGCAGAGCGTGCTAGCAACGCAGCAGAGCGTGCTAGCAACGCAGCAGAGCGTGCTAGCAACGCAGCAGAGCGTGCTAGCAACGCAGCTGAGCGTGCTAGCAACGCAGCAGAGCGTGCTAGCAACGCAGCAGAGCGTTTTAGCAACGCAGCAGAGCGTGCTAGCAACGCAGCAGAGCGTGCTAGCAACGCAGCTGAGCGTGCTAGCAACGCAGCTGAGCGTGCTAGCAACGCAGCAGAGCGTGCTAGCAACGCAGCTGAGCGTGCTAGCAACGCAGCAGAGCGTGCTAGCAACGCAGCAGAGCGTGCTAGCAACGCAGCAGAGCGTGCTAGCAACGCAGCTGAGCGTGCTAGCAACGCAGCAGAGCGTGCTAGCAACGCAGCTGAGCATGCAAGCAACACAGCTGAGCGTGCTAGCAACACAGCAGGCATGTGCATGGATGGAGTGATGGCAGCACTGACATGCAGGGAGCGCAGGTGGGCGAGTAGGTGCTTCAGGTGACCTTCCTCCCCACCATGGACGTATACCATCTGTGCCATGCATGCACGTTGCAATGCACCCATGCACCCATGCACCCATGCACCCATGCACCCATGCAGCCTTGCACCCATGCAGTCGTGTCAACCGCACACACCATACACATGCATCATGCCCCTCGAGCAGCCAACATATATAGTACAGCACGCACATGAGCAAAGGGAGGGGGGTAAAGACAAGCACCATGCACCCAAAATTCCGAAGCACGGGAATGAGCAGATGGCATAAACAGTGCGAACAACAGCACAGCCTGACTGCTCCTACACGAACCAGCCTCTCCATCTCTCTCCACCTCAAGCACACAAATGTGGCGATTGTTCTCCATGCAACAAGATCAAACCCACAGGAAACCTAACCAAGCATAAGCACTCCGTCTGTGGTGACACACCAACGCTCAGACGTTCAACCAACCCCACCCTGCTAGCAGCCCACCTGATGCGGGTGCGCAGCGCACAGCTATCATGCACGATGCGGCGAATGAACGCCAACTCGCCACCCGCACACACCATCTCTTCCGCCGTGCCACCACACGCCGTGCGCGGGTTGGCACCCGCCTGCTGCAGCGACTCGAAGAAGGGCGGGTTGCACATGCACGCGTCAAATGCCTCGCCCTCCCGTACCACCCCCACCAGTATCGGTGCTTCTCCAGGTGCCCCCTCCTCACCTCCCCACCACCTTCTCCGCCCTCTTGCTCCTTCCCCTCCCCCTCCCCTTCCCTCTCCCTCTCCCCCTCCCCTTCCCCCTTTCTCTCACCCTCACCCTCCCTCCCCTCATGCCCTGCTTCTGTTAACTCTGCTGTGCTTCGCTCTCCTGCACTCCTCCCTTGCTCCTCCTTCTGCTCCCCTCTCTCTGTTGCCACTGCACCACCCTCCTCTTCTCCCCTCCTGTGCTCACCAATCCGTTCACTCATTCCATGCTCCCTTGCTTCACTCCCCTTCTCACCCCCACACACTTCATTCCCCTCTCCCTCACCTGCTATTCTCCCCTCCCTCCCCACCAAACTCTCACTTGCTCCATTTTCCTCCGCCCTCTCCTCTCCCTCCCTCACGCATCCCCCCTCAACACCCCTTCTCAGTCGCACTTCTTCCTCCCCACTCCTCAACACCAACCCCTTCCCCTGATCATCCACCCCATTTTCCTCCCTTAAACGTTCCCCATGCGCCCCATCCGCGCCATGCGCCCCATGTACCTCCCCATCTGCAACCACCGCATGCACCCCATCGCTCTTCACCGAGCCATCCTCGCCCAGGGCATGCCCGCCCTCCCTCGCGTCTCCCCCATCCCCTGCGCGCCGTATGTCAATGAGGGGCGCCAGGCGAGGGTTGCGCGTGCGGTTGGCCAATGCGCCCTGCAGGGCGCTCTCTGTCACGTCTGGCACAGGGAGGGAAGGGGGAGGGGGGGGAGAGAGGGGGGGGGAGGGTGGGGGTGGCAAGGGAGGAGAGCACGGGGAAAGGCAGGTGGTGAGAGCAGGGGGGAAAGGGTAGGTGGGCAGCACGTGCAGTGTTGCAGCATGGATGGACTCACAGAAAGAGTGGGTGAATGGCACGGTGGGCATGCATGGTGGTTCGTACGTACCAGTGGCGAGGAATGACCAGCCAAACATGGCAGCGCCCAGTAGTGGGTAGATGAGGTTCGCCCCCGTGCCTATGTCCACCACTCGCACTGCTGCTCGCCCCCCCTCCGCCCCTCCTCCCCCCACTCCCTCACCGTCACCCTCTCCTTGTCCTCCTCCTCCCCCTCTTCCTTCACCCTGTCCCTCTCCCGCGCATTCCCCCCCTCCATCCCCCTCTCCTTCCGCCACTCCTGTCCCTGGCGGCCCTGCACCTGCGCCAGTGCGCTCTTGTGCGCCACAGGCGGGGGGAGGGCCATGAGGGGGGACCGGGAGCGAGGCGAGGAGGTCGTGCAGCCAGAGCAGGTAGTTAGTGCGGTTGGGCACGGTGGGGCACAGATGCCCGTGATCTATCCACCTGCATGGCATGGAATGGTGTGTAGGCATGACGCGATGGGATGGGGTGGGTGGGGTGCAAAGCGGTCTTCATGGTTGATTGAGTTGAGGGGTTCTGACGCACCAGGCACAGAGTGGAATGAGCTGCATGCATCATGCGTTTCGATCAGCAATGAAAGGAGAGTGGACTCTCAAAAGGCACCCACACGCACACACAGACGCACAAGCAATGTAGCACAGGCTCACACACCTCTGTTTAATACTCCAAGCTAGTCCCCTCACTCCTCTCCCTCATCCCCCCTCCCCTCTTCTTCCTCCCCCTGCCCTCCCAACCGCCTCGCACTCGTCCCTCACCCCGTCACCCTTTCCATCGCCCCTTCCCTTCGCCGCCTCCCCCCCCCCCCAGCGCACCGCACCAGTCAACGCCGAAGTCCGTGTGAAGCAGGGCCCGCGTCAGCTCGCGCGTCGCGTTGTAGTTGCTCCACATGAACCCCACCGGCCCGCCCGCCCGCCGCGCCGGCAGCACGAACGGCGCCAGCGCAGGGTGCTGCTCCGCCAGCGCGCGGAAGTCAGGTGGATTCTCCGCGTAACGGTTCCGCGGATGCATCGCGCGCGCCTTCTTTGAGCCCGTCTTGCCCTTCCCCGCTTTCCCTTCCCCTTCCCGCGCCCGTTTCCCTCGCTCCTCCGCGGGCTCTGGTTCCCATTGCGCCGCTCCCCCTGCGCCTTCCCCCCATTCGTCCCCATCCCGCGTGTCGTCCATTTTTCCTCCTTCGGTGTCCATCGCCGTCGCAAAGATTCGCCTCTACAACGACCGTGCGACAGGCGACGAGACGCGGTACGACCGACCGTGCGACAGGCGATCGCTCACGAAACTAGAAATTACCGGAACGCGCAGTGCGGGCGCCGCGACGGGAGAGGCAGTACGACAGTGGGCGGAGAAGAGGCAGAGGCGGAGGACGAGGATGGACGCGAAGCGATCGCTAGTCTGAAAGCCTTTCCATGTCTAGCTGGTGACAGGGAGTCGATGCGGTATGGAGCAGGGGAGCGTGGCGACGAACTGGGTTCTATATGTGGTCGCCAACGAACGGAGTTTCACTTCACACCCTCCCAACGAACAAATTCCAATTTTCACAACCATATGCTCCTCTCTTTCCACCCACCCCAATTGACTTTCTGCTCAATCATGCTTGATTGGGTTTCTGCTTGCACCGCTTCCGATTCCGACCAGACAGCTAGCGACCAAACCAGTACACCTCGCAATTCTGTTGCGCCGATCCTTAGATTCATTTTGCGTTTCCCCCGTCCGCCATGCGCGCGAGCAAGCGCGCGCGCACGGCGCCTTTCCCCCAGCGCCCGCGGAGCACGAGGCGTGCGGCTGCGGGGCGGGCAGGAAGCGCGCCGATCCCTCCGCACGCCGCAACCAGAGGTAGAAGCGCGCCGGTACCCGAAGCGGAACTGCCGCTTCCGCCAGCGGCGCCCCCCGCCCTGGCGGAAGCGACCGGCGCTGCGCGAGAAGCAGTCGACGCGGTTTTATCCGCGGATCACGGCAGGAATTCAGACACGGAACACGGCGGCGGCGGGGAGCATGGCGAGGCCGACTCGCCCATGGCTCTTCTATCCGACGATGCGCTTTCGCTTGCGCTCTCCCGCTTGCCCACACGATTCGCGCTTTCTTCGCTCGCCTTCGTGTGCCGCCGCTGGCGCAGACTGGTTCTCCGCCACTGCGTGCGCGAGCTCCGCCCGTCCCCGTTCACTCTCCGCGCCACCGGCTGCTTCGCCTCCGCGGACGGTCTAGCGGACCTCGTCCGCCGATTCTCCTCCTCTTTGCGCGCAATTGAGCTCCGCCCGCCTGAACTTTCCGCCAGAGGGTCCAGGCGAGGCGGCGGGGAGCGGGGGAAGGGGAAATGCGCGGCGGAGGCGGATGGCACGGAGCCATGTTCAGTCGGGGAGATACTGCGAAGCGCGCCGATGCTGGAAGATTTGACTATAACGAGCTGTTTCGCTGGGTCGGAGGAAGGCGGCGCTCCCGCTGCTATCGTAGACGACTCGGCCTTGTCAGTGATCATCAGTAGCGCCGGCAGCACCAACACCACGGCCTCCGGCCCAGCAGTTGCTGCAGGGAGGGGCCATGACACACGCAGCAACGCCGGCGGCAACGTCGGCGGCAACGGCGGCAGCAACGACGGCAGCAACGACGGCAGCAGCAGCGGGGGTAGCGCACGAAACAGCGGTGGCGGAAGGGGCGGCGGGGGTTCGGGGTTTAAGCGGGAGGCGCGGGCGCGGGCGGTGCGCGTGCCGATGCGGCCGTTGGAGTTCGTGCAAGGCGTGCTGCCGCGCCTGCCGCGGTCGCTACAGCGCCTCGACCTCCACGCGAACCACTTCCTCTCGGCCGGCGCATGCCTGGGGGGAAACGAGCCCGACGTGGTGGAAGGCCGGGTGGGGGACGTTTTAGGGGGAGGGCATGCGGAAGCAGCGGCGCGGAGAGGGGAAGGGACTGCGGAAGGAGACGACGAGGAGCAGGCGGGAGGCAGCGCAGGTGATCGTGCGTATGAGCGCGCGCTGCCGTTACCCCAGCACGCCACTCCCCACGACTCCTTCCTCTACGCCGTCGCCTCCTCGCTCCCCGCGCTCCGCGCTCTCGACCTCGACACGCCCTCGCGCCTCTCCCACGCCGCCGTGCTCCACCTGCCGCTCGCCCTGCCGCGCCTCACGAGCCTCTCCCTCTATTCCAACGCTATCACATGGCCCACTGTGTTCTCCCTGCTCGCCCTCGCGCCCTCCCTCCGCTGCCTCTCCCTCGTCTCGTCCGCGCTCACCACTTCCCCCTCCCGCCCCCGCAGACCCCCTGTCCCCCCCTCCGCCCACCCACCAGGTCCTTCCTCCCTTGACTTCTTCCCTTTTCCACGGCCCGCCCTTGCTGTGGGTGCTGCCGCCACCACCGGCACGACAACCACCGCTATGATTCCACCGAGCAGCACCAGTGGGAGTAATCCGTCTGCGCTGCTGCCCGCCCTGCCATCCACCCTCCCGCCCCTCTCCTCCCTGCGCCTGTACACGTCGCCACATCGCTCCGTGCAGTGGGACCTGCCCCCCGCACACTCCCTGCTGCGCGCCCTCCTCGCCCTCCCTGCTCCTCCCACTGCCCCGCCTGCCACCCCCATCGCTCCCTCTTCTTTCCTTGACTCACCCGCTGCAGCTCGTGCACCAGAAAGCGGCTTTGGCTTCACAGCTCGTGCAGCTCTGTGTGTGCCTACCACTAGCAGCACCGTCCTCGCAGCACAGGAACCCGTGCCTGCTGCAGCACCCAGCACAAGGCCCACAGCAGCAGCGGCATGTGGGAGAATGGGGGGCTCTGGGCTCATGGCCCGCATGGCGGCCCGTGCAGGTGCTGCTGATGCCGGTTCTGCTGGTGCAGGTGCTGTCACAGGCAGGCCCCAGAGTGTTCGGACAATGGGGTCAGTGGGTGCATGCTCCCTGCGCTCCCTGCACGCGCAGCACACCTTCAGCGCGTCCTGGCAAAGCATAGGCGTGTGCTGCCATGGGCTCACAGAGCTCGACCTCTCCTTCCCTCCGCGGCCCCACTCCCCCTCCACATGGGGCGGGGCAGCAGCACAGGGGGGGCTGACAGGCATAGAGGAGATCGTGCTGTGTGGGACTCTCTCCATGCTGCCACACCTGCAGCGCCTCGCTCTGCCCAGTGCCAACGACCAGGTGCTCACGCACGTGGCCCGCTGCTGCCCCCACCTCTCGTCCCTCCTCGCTCAGCCACACATACTCGCCACCTCCCCCGATGCCAGCCTCCCCCGCTGCCCCCCGCAGCCGCATGTGACAGACGATGGCGTGCGGGCGCTGGCACATGGGTGCACGCGGTTGGTCCACCTGAGCTTGGCGGGGTGTGTGCGTGTGGGGGCAGCAGTGCGGCAGCTGGCATTCCACTGCCAGCAGCTGCGAGTGCTGAGGCTGGAAGGCAGCGCTGTGGACGATAAGGCAGTGCTGGGAGCACTCTTTGGTGGAGCCTGGAAGTGCCATGCTGTTTATCCCTCTTCTTCTTCTTCTGCTCGTGCTGCTGTTAAAGGGGCTGGTGGTGGTGCAAGTGGTGCTGCCAGTGTCTCTGGCGGCCATGGTACCAATGGCGTGGTGCAGCTGCTGCTTCCTAGGCTTGTGCTGCTGGACCTGTGGGGCTGTGCTGCTGTCACCTCTGAATTGCTACTCGCTATTCTGCAGGCAGCAAGGGAGCTGGCAGCAGCAGCAGCGGCAGCAAGGAAAGGAAAGGAATCCGGAGAGAAAGAAGTCGGGATTCCTGAAGGGGCTTTAAAAGGCAAGGATCATGAGAGGCCTTCAGGAGGAAACAAGTGCACGAAGCGTGGAGGGGAAGAGGTGGTGGAACGCAGGTCCAATGTTGGTCAGCTGCAGCTTCAGCTTCGGCGCCTCATGGTGTCTCCAAGCGTCCTCAAGGGGTCCAAAGGGAATGACAAGGGGGGGATAAAGAATAAGGCCGATGTGAGTGTTGAAGGGGTAGATATTACACTGGTCTTGCAAGGCTTGAAGGAAGAGTTGCCTTCACTGATGGTAACTTGTGGAAGAACAGCAAAGGACTTGCTGCCATGGGATGGTTTCTTTCATTGGAAGCAACCTTGGGATGGTTGATCCTGCTGGATTTACTCTAAGGTGTTTCTAATTGGCTTGGCCTTGCCTCTGTACATCCAATTTGATTTTAGGATTCGAAGTGGAATTATAGTGTCTGAGTGCCATCATGTCTGTCTTGATAACGAAGATCTTGACAGCGACATACCGGTAGGGTACCCATTGATTCCGCTTCACGGACCAATAGCGTTGGCCCAAACTCCATGTGGTCTTTTCGCTGTGCAAGCGAACCAAGGTCCATGTGGCCTTTTCTTGATCACAGCCCCCCGTACGAGTCTTTCCAATCAGGTGCCACCCCACCAACCACACACCTTACCATTTGAACCGAACTTTTGCTTCGGAAACTCGGAATTGTCAAATTACACCAACTTTTCGGTGACGCCCTCAGCGATTCGTCGGCTGTCTTCAACCGAACCTGATAACGAGCTTCGATGGCGCGCTCTGGTCTGGCATGGCCCGCCAGTAGCGGTTCGCTTACCTGCTGCTGCCGCAGCTCATTGCGTCACCCAACCAACTGCCTAAACCACACACCCCTGCTTCGGCAGCTTGGCTGACACAGTGCGCAGAGCGGACTCGCGTCGTTTCCAAGGAGCGCTGGTGGGGTAGCAGGTGGGTCTGTCTGTGGCATAACATTCCTCTCGTGCGATGTGGGTGCAAGAAACAACACGCTCGTTGCTGGCCTCCATGAGGGAAGCTGGAATCCCAAGCGGCGGCTGGTGTGTGCACACCTGCCGATTTATCAGCGCTGCAATTATTTGAGGGATCTATGAGCTTGTGTTACACTTGTTTTTTGCCCTCAAACCTAGTAGAACGCCACTTCAATCTCTATCCTTAGTTGGTCATCTGTAGTCGTATTAGCGGTTATGGAAATGGAAGCATGCGGCCCGCTTAGAGAGGTTCCCCTCCAGTCCTTATCGTCCGACGAGTTACCGCATTTCTCGGCTGGAACATCCGGGAAAGTTTTATGGACATGCGAGAAGGACCGGGATTTCCGCCTAACGCGGGCGCGCGAGATGCTAGCTCACGCGAGCGATTCGGAGCGACGGCAGCTGGAGTCGTTTTACCCTGAACTACGGAGCGGCGCGGACGACTTTGATGAGGACCCAATGGACGGCGACGATTTGGCGACGATCGACTTGGACGACCCTCCACTGTTCTTCCTCCACGTCGGTCGCGATTGGGTCAGTCACCAGACAGTGATAGGTGGTCTGTTTTCTGGATGTGGTACACAGCGCGCGGTGGCCATGGCTGCTGCTGACATGAAAATTCGTGGTCAACTCGTGTTTCGCTTCCCATCCCCTGTCGATTACCTGACACGCAAATGTTCCATTTGCAGACTCTGTCGCGCTTTCTCCCAACCATTTGCCCTCTCCTTTTCCCGTTTATGCTCGTTCGCCTTGCCTTCCCTCTGTCAAACAGCTCGAAGCTGACGTCACCACGTCTACTAACGGCATCGATTTTGGCCTTATAGGCTGTCAGCTCTCTTCCGCCGATTTCGTTGGCTTGCGCGAGGTACCGCATGCAGCGGCCTCCGCGGACCTCCCCTCCGCGGATCTTCATCTCCAGCCGCCGGCTCCCGCCGCCAAATCGGCTTCCGCCGCCGCTGCCGCCGCCGCCGCTTCCCGACGCCCGCGTGCCTTTTTATCGTCGCTGCTCGTGCCCTCCGCTAAGCTCGCTGGCGGCGCAGCCACGCGCAAATCCGCGTCGGGGTCCACTGGTGTCTCCTGGACTGGCGGAACGAACGGCGTGGCGCGCACGCGGCACAGCGTGCCGGATGGGGGTGACCGCCACAGCGCGCGGGATACAGGGCGGACGCAGAAGACGGGGGACTGTAATGGCGGGGCATTGAACGGCGGTGTAGGGGGTTTCGTTGGAGGGGAAGAGCAGAGCGGGGGAGGCGGGGGACCTGGTCGTGCGGAGAGAACCAGGGGCAGCGCGGGAAGGTGGGAAACGGATGGGCGGAGCGGGGCCTGCGCACGTGGGAGATACTGTGGAAGGACAGCCGATGGGACGGGCCCATGCGCCGACTGACTTTCTCCTGCAACGCCAGCGGGTATGTGAGGGCGTGTGTAGGCAGCGTGTGAGGACGCATGGAGAAAGAATGGGGTTGAAATGGAAAGAAGTGATATGTAACAGAGAAAATGAAAATGCTGGCATTGCATGTCATAAGCCACGTGGTCTGGCGCAGCCACGTGGAATTCACACCCGTGTATCAACACGCTCACACATGCCATGTCACACCCACGTGCCACCTCAACCCCAGTGCGTTCTCACGTCCACATTGTGTCCGACCCGGCCCACGCGGCACCAGGTACAAGGCGATAGAGGGCAAGATAAGCGAGTGGGCAGCAGCAGCGCACAGCACGGCCATCATGATCGACGCCAGTAAAGCCGCCATCCGCGCCCGCTCCTCCTCCTCCTCCTCCTCCCTCTCCTCCGCCGCTGCCCCACACCGCCCCAGCACTGGAGCAACAGCAGCAGGGGCAGCAGGCGCGAGCAGAGCACGAGTGGCAAACGGTGGGCCCAGCAGGGGAAGGGGCTCGGGTTCCAGAGGAATGCTGCGGAGCCCGTCAGATGATGCAGTATCAGAAAGGGGCGCAGTGGGGATGCGCGTGGGAGCGTCCCAAGAGGGAGTGGGGGGCGAGGCTGTGCCGAGTGGGGAGTCGACGGTGGGTGGGTGGGCTGTGTTTTATGGCTCCCTGCCTGCCAACGACGTTGCTGCCATGCCGCCACACGCAGAGCAACCACAGGAAGCAGCACAGGAGCAGACGCAGGGTAGGGCTCACGAGCAGGAGGGGAAGAGGGGGGAGGAGGTGAGGAGGGGATTGGAGGAGCAGCAAGCAGCAGCGGTGCAGGGTGCGGGGTGTGAGCGGGGCGAGAGGCCATGTGGTGTTGGGGAACAGTTCGTGGAAGGATGCGGTGCAGGCATGTCAGGTGGAGGGGGTGAGAGTCCGTCTGGGTGTGAGGGAGAGAGGGCAGAGGGAGAGGTGGGCTTGGGTGTGGTGCAGGGGAGTGGCATGGCGGAGGAGGGGATGACGGACAGTGAACCCGCGAAGGGGGGCAGCGGTGCTGGTGAGGAGAGAGGGGGCCATGGGGAGGAGGTAGTGGCGAAGGAAGAGGAGGTCAAGGAGGTCGCAGGAAGGGAGGAGGAGGAGAAGGAAGAAGAGGAAGAAGAGGAGGAGGATGCGGAGTGCAGTGTGATTCGGTGGGGCTCAGTGGCTGTGGAGGGTCGGTTCCTTCCCTCTCGGGATGCTCCGTCGCAGCTCTTATCTGATGGCAACTGCAAAGCGGTCAGTGCCTCTTCATGCCTCTTAGCCTTCTCTCCCACCCTGCCCCATCACATCAACTTCCACCAGAGGGCCAGCCTGTCCGTGTTCCATGTCACGCCGCCCAGCCCAGCACCTGCCTGTTCCCTATCTGCTTCCAGAGCTGTGCCTCAGTGTGTGCGTTGGTGCTTGTGCATCTCCCTCCCACCGCGTACCCCACCTCTTCAGCTGGCAGTGGCTCTTCCTGCGCGCCTGCGCACGGCCCGGTGGACGCTGCTGTACAGCACTGCCAGGGACGGCATCAGGTGAATGGGGCTGCTGTTACCTGAGTGGCATGGTTGCGAGAAGCATGCATGCATGAATGGCAGGGTTGGGTGATGAATCATCACTGATGAGAGGTGCGGTGTGCATGGCATTACAATGCAGGATTGGTGTAAGAGGTGTCACATTCATGCGCTGCACTCACGTTCTGACAACGTCACTGTAGATACTCCAAGGCAGCACGATTACTCCAATCCACCGCATAGTGTCCCGTATTTTCAGTTTTATATCAATCCTATTGCCATCTGTGCACCATCATCAATCGCACCACCCGTTTTCTGCTACCTCCGATTCACGCCACTGATTTTACTCTCCTGAGCTGCCCCCTTTCATCTGTCCCCTGGCATTGTCCCATCCCTCATGTGTCCTGGTCAGTCTGGCCACGCTGTACCGCAAAGTGGCGAAGAAGGGACCCTTGCTGCTCATTGTGCGCGATTCCCGCAAGCATGTGAGCCTCCTTCCTATCTACCTGTTCTTCTCTCCTCATTTCTCCCTTCGTTCCTCCCCCTCCCTCCATCTCTTTCTCCCACTGCTTAATTACCTATGCCCGTGTTTCCTGTGTCTGTAGCTGTGTGACTATTTAACTGACATTCACGGGGCACATGGTGAACATGGAACAAATGATTCAACACATGTTTCGTGTCCCATGCTGCATTTCCCATGCCACGGCATGAGCCAGGTGTTTGGCTGCTTTACATCAGAGGAATGGAAGGTGTCTACTCGTTATTATGGCAACGGGGAGTGCTTTGCCTTCCAGGTATGTCTTTGGCACATGCACGGTGCGTCTATGGTGATCGCAGTCCTTTCCATCCATGGTGTAAGCACCAACACCCCATTTTGTCACATGTTCTTACCTACCGTATCCCCCCACTTACCTGCTCTGTTCAAAGTCCAATCACCCCTCATTCTCCCTCTTGCACCTTCTTTCCATTTGGCTAATGTGCGACAATACCCGAACTCGACCTGTTATTTTACTTCCCGTCACTCTTCGAATGTCACCGATTCTCCATGCTCCCATAAATCCTGCGGCAACCCCGCTTGGTCCTCTCCTTTTTTGCCTTTCCATGGCATACCCCATCAGGTGCGGCCTCAGCTGATGGCTTTTCGGTGGACACGGGCCAACGCATTGTTCATGCTCTCCAGTGCCAACTCCCTCGCACTTGGTGGCGGGTGAGACCCACGTGCCACCGCCCCGATCGTTCTGGATGCTGCCATGCCATTACCTGTCACACCACAGTGGTATTGCAATGTTCGATACCATGCATATGAGGCTTCCATGCTTCAACTCTGGTGCTGATGCATCACTCACATTGTCCGAATGGTTTGCACCTTGTTTGTGACTCCGTTCAGACTTATATAGGAATCATACTCATACGAATCCATTTCGTCCTTGCTATGACTTCCTGATTTTTTTTTTTCTGATTTCCTTTCTTCACTTCAACTTCATTTCCCCCACATCCCCTTTTTCCCTTCATCACTTGGGTCTTCCTTTTTTGCAAATGCTGTTGGCAAAACGTCTGTGATAAACGTTTCAGGGATCACTACAGCCTGCTGTTGCAGTCTGACCTTCTGTCAGGCTACAGCGGACCCTGTTCCACATTTGGCAGCTGCTCCCTCTCAAGGTATGTTTCTCGCATTGCACAGAGCAGAAAATGCATTTTATCTCCTGCAGAAAAAGCTTGTGCATCCATCTGCAAACAGGCATGCATTTGTGTGGACCTGTGTTTTACACAACAGAGATTTTGGAGATTCCTGATGTGATCCATGGTGCAACAATTGTACTCATTGTGTTGTTCGGTTGGTGCATTGTATATGCTTGTGGATGATGGAAGCAGCACGGAGGACTTCAGCGTGACACGTGTGGAAGTGTGGGGCTTCAAATGATACCGATGGATGGGGCAACTTATTATGAATACGTGTTGTTTATGCATTGGGTTTGTGCCAGTTACGGGGGTTACCTTGGTGGTTGGGTTGCAAGAGTGCCTCCCAGCCATTATCTACAGGCCCAAACAGAGGCTTATTGTGCATATAAAAGATTCCTGCTGTTTACGCTGATCCGTAGTGGAGAAAACATACGCATGTGCTTCAAATGGCACTCTTCATATGCTTAAATACCTTTGGTTTAGAATCCAAGCGTAAAGACAGATTTAGTAGCGCATGTGCTACCTGCTTGGCTTGGCATGGTTTGAGATTTTTATGTGCAAGTAACATAATACAGACTTTTTGTATGGAAAGAAACGTCCCAGTCATTACATACACAAGAATTAGGTGGTGCTTCTTACGAAGGCTATGTCCCACGTGACGAAGATATCCAACGAGGCGAGATCGAGAAGTTTGATTGGATGGCGGCCAACGGTAGCGAGAATGCGGGTAAAGGTTATGAGTACGCTGGCAAGAAGGAATGACGTGGTGTTCTTTATGACGATGATGACTTCTTTCTCCACCGTAATTTGCTGAGTGCTGCAGACTCCTCGGGTTTTGGGTGAAACAAACAAACGGGCTGATTGGTGGATCTTGCAGTTGAGGGCGCCACAACACCCACCCGACGTTATTGGGTTTTGACATGCCACGGTTTCAGCCCTTTGCAGCAAATTCAAGTGCTTGGTCACACCACCCTGTGCATCGTAGTGGCGGGGAAACCAGAAAGTGTAGAAAAAATCGTCGAAGTGGAGATACAGTCACATCAACCAGTATTTCTCTGGTGTGAAGAAATCTTATGTCAGGGCAGCTTCACCCTCGTCCAATCCCGTGACAGGGCGAGGTGGAAGGCCTCGTCCATCCCGCAGAGTTACATGGTTCTGTCGTCGCTAGCGAGACGCTTTCCAGCTTTGCGCAACGCTGTCACGACTAACGACAGTGCGAACTAGAGCCGCGAAATTAATATCGTTGGGGGAGCAAGAAACCGAAATCTTGATCTTCTCGCCTCTCGCCCATCCTGCTCTGCTGTCCCGCTGCTGTTTTCTGCATGCGTCCAGCAACATCAGAAGACAGGAGCTTTTTCAGTCACAGGATTTCCCATCGAGCTGCTGTGTGCTGTTATCTGGCGAGCCATTCGTTCATTTTCCGTGTCCTTTTTCTCCGAAGCTGGCTGAGCGTGTGTTCGGCTTATGTGCACTGGAGTGCGTCGTTTCCAAATGGTGCCATCTTGCGCCATGAATCTCCTATGATCGAGCTGTGGCGAACTCCAGGTCAGTCGCCATCATTCCAGGTCTCTTCGTTGTCACTTATTCCTGTTTCAGGATGTGATGTTTTCCCGCTTCTGTCCTGTCCTCCTCCGTCCATTCCATTGCAACATCCCACTTTCTAAACTCACATCTCCCCACCATTGAATTCGTCCGTCTTCTTACATCCACGTTTGGTTCTTGTTCTATACCTTCCCTCCGTCCACCTACCATCCCCTTTCGGGCACTTTAATACCGTGAAACCAGTAAAAAAATATTTCCTAGGTGTTAGCTGCTGTCTTCCCGTTGAAGCTTCTTGGCATCAACAAGGCCGCCGAAGACCCTGCCAACAACGGTGGCGGGATCCGCTCGCGGTTCTTCCTCGAATCCTTCAGTCAGTCTTTTCATAGTTATCTTGGTTCCAAGTCGCGAAGCATGGCTGGCAGGCTGTTACACAGTGCATCTCCGACCACCTCCGCTCTTCTCACAGACTCCACATCAGCAACCTGTGTACCGGCATCCCCACTAGCGGGAACGCTCAGCCTCTGCAGCAGCAGTAGCCGCGTGGGCTCGTGCGGTTGCTGCAGGTCACCTTGCAACGCTCGTTTGTCCCGGCCCTCAGTTTCCCCCTTGTCCTTCGCAACGGCGGCTCATGACGTCAGCCTTCCCATAAGTGCCACCAGCAGCGTTGAGTCGCTCCCCTCTCGTCCGTGTGTGTTGAGGCATAAAGGCGTCCCTTCGTCTCTCCGCTGGTCGCAACACCACCAAGCCGCGCCAGGGTTGCGATACTTGAGACGCTCCAGCCACGGGTTGCTGGGGGCCGGCGTTCGCGCGTGGGGCCCTGATAGGATCTCACCGCCGAGTGCGCCGTCCGTGTCGGCTGTAAACACGCGGGAAGATGGTGTCGTAGCTGACGGGGAGGATGGCGCGTTGGGTGATGGGTCTTCTCACGGACAAGGGGGGACGGTGAACCAAGTGAAAGGCCCGGAAGGGGAGGAAGTGGTGTTGGGAGAGGGTGTGAACGAGGATTTGGATTTGGGATTGGATGGAAACAGAGGGGGTGATTATATCGTGGGTGATTACATTGGAGATGGTGAGCTGGAGCGATTGGTGCGCGACATTGCGACGATTGAGCGACAGAACGACACGATGGTGCGACAGGTGTCGGAGTACACGCGCATGCTGGCGGAGGCGTCGCGGAAGCTGAGCATGTGCGCGCAGTCCACGCGCATCGAAGCGGCGAAGCTGAAGAAAGTCGCGCGGCTGCAGCAAGCTGCTGAGGTGCGCCGCTTGGGGGAGATGCGCTTGGCGGCGGCGGCAGAGGCGCGCCGGCAGGAGGAGGAGCGGCGTCGGGAAAGCATGCGCGCGGCCGCGGAGTGGCAGGCGGAGAGACTAGCCGCGCAGCAACGTGCGGCGGAAGGTTAGTGCGGGAAGGGGGGTCGGGGGGGAATTGGAGGGTTGCCGGGTGTGTGATAAGAGAGATTGATGGAGGAATGGGTTGCATTTCTTTCAGGGTATGCTTGCCGGGGTAATGGTGGGGAACGGTAAGGGCGTCAGCCGTGCGGGCTGTGCGGATAAGCGGGATTGGAAGTCACATTGCTATCGTTTTCCGTCACCGTACCCGACCGCTGTCACACCTGTAATCGTTCCCCCTCACAACTGTACCTCAGCTTACCACTCTTATTTCTTACCGTCCCCTCGCCCTCGTCTCCCTCACGTTGCAACCAGCGGCAGCGTCTCTCTCCACAAGCGCAGCGCCGGCGGAAGCGGAAGCAGGCAGAAACGGGGCGCTGGTGCAGGGCATGGAGAGCGTGGGGACGGCGCAGGGGAGGGCGGACCTAGAAGGGGTTGGCGCTGCCGCTCAGGCTGCGCCTGAGGCGGCGGCGGCTGCTGCTGCTGCGACTCAGCTTACTTCCACACCTACTAATGCAGCAGCAGTAGCGGAGCCTGAAATTGCTGAATCACCATCGACAAAAGTACCAACGCCTTCAGCACCACCAGGCGTAGTGGTGGCCGCTGCAGCGGCAGCCGCGGCTGCTGCTTCCGCCGCGGCGAACGAGTACGCAGCTGCAGGCGCAACAAGGGGACCGCAAACCGAAGAATCGGAAGCAGAGGACGACAGAGGGTCGGAGTGGAGCACAGAGGCAGTGCAGGCCTCCTCCGAGGGGGAGGAGGAGGAGGACACAGCCGTGGTGACAGAAACCACGCAGTGCTCCATCGACCATCCAGGCGCGCTCTCGTGCCTCACCACCACCATCCGCAAGGACGACCGCAACCGCCAGGCCGTGGTAACCCTCGAAGCCACCGTGCAGTGCGCGGGCGACGCGTGCCTCACCTCCGCGCCGTCGCTCGGCGCGGACGACTACGCCGCGCTGGCCATCGCGACTATCGCGGACGCCGCCACGCAGATGCGGCGCGAGCAGCGGCTGCAGCCAGGCGGCGAGGCGGGGGACCCGGCGGCGAGCGAGAGGAGGAGGCGGATCGAGGAGCTGCTGGCGAAGGGGCACGTGGTGAAGGCGCGGCCTGTGGAGCCGCCGTCGAGGTTCGGGCATGAGAGCTTCCTCGTGCGCCTGCGCTCACCAGACACCAAGGAAGAGGTGCGCGGGGAGGGGTGGCGACAAGGGGGAGGAAGAGGAAGAGGTTTGGTGTGGATGAGGGTTGGATGTATGGCGCGTAGAGTCGAAATGTAGACTTGGGTTCCTGAGTTGGGAGTCGAACACTGGAGGACCTTGTGCGATTGGATATTCTGTCCTTGCGTTGACATGCATGCTTCCCCCGTGTCTGTTTATGCTGCTTACAGATTGACGCCATGTTCAAGCCGCGGGTGGAAGGTGATGCAGAGGGGTGGCACAGAGCGCCGATAGAGTGGGTGGCATACGAGCTCAACCTGCTGCTCGGCATGGACTACATTCCCCCGGTCAGTACCCCTTGTGGACTTGCTTTACCTGGCTACTACAAGCGAGCACATATGCATCAGATGAAAGATAAAGCTGAGTAGCAGACATGTTGGTGCCTCTAGTCTATGTTGCGGTAAACGAATGCGCATGAACCCTGTCCCTGTCTTCAAAGCCCCAGAGCTTCCACCAAGTTTCTGGCACCCTTGCAGCGGTGCTGTCACACGTGGCACCATAGCTGATTTGAAGGCTTGGCTTTGACTCGTGAAGCTGGCAGTTGAACACCCAGGCACTCACAAACACCACCACATCCACGCAGGTCCTCTGTTTCCTCCACAGTTTCCATTTTCCCCACTTGTCGTAACCAATCTCCGTCTGGCCTTCATGAACCCCAGGTGGCGTACCGCACAGGTGGGGTGGAGCTCACTCTCAGCCGCTCCTCTGACCACAGCAACTCGCAGCACCACCACCACGAGCAGCACCAGCAGCAGCAGGAGCAGCACACAGTGCGGTATGAGGAGGGCGCCTTCATCTACTGGGTGCCGCACACCAAGGAGCTGCGCAAGGTGGCGGCTGCATCATGGGGCGTGTCTGTGGCGCACCTGCTGAGCGACACGCGCATTCTGGACGTGCTTCTCAACAACAGTGACCGCCACCACGGGCACTTCCTGTTTGGCCAGCACTGGACGGACGGCACCATGCGCCCTGTGCTCATTGACCATGCTGCTGGCTTCCGACGGGTGAGCACCCAGGATAGGTGATGCTGTAGGCTCGCAGGCGGCTGATATAGCGTTGTTTGTACGGGCTACCAAACAGTCGTTTTTCTTGCCCCCCCGCCCCTCCCCCCATCTTTCCGTCTTGTCACTTCGTTTTTCTTCCCTATACATGTGCTGTATTTCTCTATTTGGACTCGTTCTCACTGTTCCTGGTTGAACCCCTCCACCTCCTCCCCCTCCTTCCCCTTCCCTCATGCCGCCCCCCCCCCCCCCCCCCCCCTTCTTATGTATCCTTGCCTTCCTATTCCTCAGGAGGCGGTGGTGCTGATGGAGCACGAGAACGCGTTTCAGACGGGGTCCATCCGGTGTGTGAGTGCGCACACGTACCTGCGCCTGCGCTTCCTCGACCGCTCCATCCTCGCCCTCAAGTTCAGCGGCATGCTCAGCGAGCAGGAAATCACCGACCTCATTACCCGCAGGGACCAGGTCAGCCAATGGGGATGGGGAGGCTAAAGGAGGATATTGTTTGGTGAAGGTGGAGTGATGCCGGTTGGTTGCGGCTTGGGGGGTGTTGGGTCGTCCATGGCTGGGCCATTGGTGCTTGAACGTGATTCCTGATTACATCTGGCCAGTGTCTGCTGCTTTCCTATGATGGAACCGTTTTGTGGCATGCCCCAAACTGTGGACGCCATCATGAGGCAACTTACCATGTGTCTCACGTCACCTGCTGCTTTCAATTTCCTCTGGCGCCTCCTTATTGCATCGGCATCTGCGTACTAATCGGGCCCACATGTCTTTGTTCGGAATGGCTTTGTGACCTGCGTTTTTCTTCTTCTTTGTCACTGCCCGCCTCGCTTGTCTGCCCACATGCTTGCAGGTGCTGAAGTATCTGGACCATCTGGTAAAGGAGAGGGGCTACCAGCGAACTGTTGTTGATTAGCCGTCTGCATAAATTGGTAAACGCAGGTTGGGGGCATGGGAGTTCTTGGTGATGGTTAGGTTTGCTCGCGTGTTCGCGCTTGGTGGAATAGAAGGGCAGTGTGCCATGAGACATAAAACTAACGGAAAACCGAGACATTTGGGTCCGATTGCCATTGGTGATAACGGAATCCCCGAAGTCAAAGCAAGACATTGTCATTTGCAAGGCCATACTTCGGATGGATAATGGAGTTGCTGATTGCTTGTGGTGTTTTTCACATCAGAAGACTCACAAACCTGTGTAAGGTGTTTTAGCTAATTAATGTTCCTTAGATAAGGAGTGCCTTTATCATGTTTTGATGCTTATACCCTGACAATAGCAAACTTTTTTAAAATGTTCTTACAGCTCAACAAGGAAAATCATTATAGGCTACTGTTGGCAAGTACTACTGGTCTTGCATATATGAATAGAAAAATACATATTACATGTATATATGTTACAGCTCTGGGTTGTTGGAGCATGACCTCTCGACCCTTCACATCCAATTCTCGAGGCGAGCCCAGCATCCATTTTTGCAACCAAGAATTTGAGTTGAAGAATCAGCCGCACATCGCAGACACAGGGGGTTACTAGTTCAATACAGAGACAAGACTAGAGAGCTGCTGACAAGCGGGAGCCATGGTTTTCTTGTCGACACCTCAGTATTCAGAGACACAGCAACAACCCACAATTGAGAATGATGATACCCTGAAGTGCATCAGTCACCTCCCACCGTGCTTCCGTCCATTGTTTAGCTTCAGGTCCGTTTTGTTAGTACTGCTGCAAAGGCACTTCCGCCAACCAGACTTCTTTTTCAAGCGGCCTTCCTTTTTCTTTCGCCAGGTATTTCAATGCTGTTCAAAGTGAGGCCTTCGGGGAGGTGTACACGACAGACAACAATATTGTTGTGTCAGCTCCAACAGGTGAGCAGTTGGGTTCATAGTAAAAAGGTAAAACAAATTACTAATGCATGCATTTCCAGGAAGTGGCAAGACCGTGCTGTTTGAACTGGCTATACTGCGGCTCCTAAGCAAGACGCTTACATCTGGCCAGGAGTATATCCATTCTCCAGGACGATACAAGATTGTAATACATGCTTGCGATGCTTCTTGCTTTTCCTGACATGATAGGATGCTGATATCTTCATTGACGTGCAGATATATGTCGCTCCAATGAAGGCAAGCATGAGTTGTGCGTGAAAGTGCACATTCTTGTTGCGACACATATGTCAATAATTTTTCCTGCAGGCGTTGGTTCAAGAAAAACATAGAAGCTGGGAAAGCACTTTTGGAAAGCATTTGCATCTCAAGTGCTCTGAGGTTACTGGAGACACCGGTAAGAATGTATTTTAGGGCTCTTCTACTGTCTGAATCTGAGCTGACGAGTGTGAAACTGTGCAGACACCACGGTCAAGGATCTTCACAATGCAGATATCATCCTTACCACACCAGAGGTTTAATGGCCTTGCCCTTGAAGTTTTCAGCCTGATTTGCTTTTCGTTTTTATGATTTCTAACTAAGCAACTTGACACAGAAATTTGATTCACTCACACGGAAGCATCGTGATAGAGGCGGTCTTACTCTTTTCGGCGACATTGCTCTACTCCTAATTGATGAGGTTCATCTCTTAAGCGATCCACGTGGAGCCGCTCTGGAGGCTATTGTCAGCAGACTGAAAATGCTCTCGCGATATCCAGAAATGTCAAATTCGCCCATTTCCAGCATCCGATTCGTGGCTGTTTCTGCTACCATACCCAACCTGCATGACATTGGTATGCTGCTCCTGAAGCAAGTCCTTTGGAAAGGGCTTGGAAAGGGCTTTATTCCGGTCCAGTGCGTGCACGCTATTGTACAGAAAGGAGGAAAGATGATTGAGTCTATGACGGTGGTTTTTGCCCACACGATTACAATTCTGATACTGTAATTTCCATGTGGTATGCAGCCGATTGGCTCCTTTCCAAAGGCAAAGGAACAAGAAGGTATGGAATCTTGCTTTTCCAAACTCCCGTACTTGTGCTGCTGGGTTCCTCATCCTCCTTTTTTTAGATTTGGCGAAGAGATGAGGCCTGTCAAGCTGACTTCGACAGTGTATGGTATGTCACTACGTCTACCCATTGGTAGGTCAAACCATTTGGTAGATAATAGAATCTCACTCTTCTTTTGTGTTACAGGTTATGCGCCTGCCAAAAATGACTTTCTCTTCGAGAAGGTAAGGCTGTTCGAAAGCATTGTATGTCTGTACGCAACTATTTCATCTCCTTCACGCCATACCTAACGGTCACACTTTTGTTTTCCTACTTGCAGAGACTGCAATATTTTCTTCCAGGTTTGTTTTGATCAGGAATATGTTGGTGGAGCTTGCTAATCTGATTCTGAGCCACAACGACCATATCAACTCTTCGTCCTGTTTTGCAGAGGTCATCAAGCAGCACAATGATGGAAAGCCAGCGCTTGTGTTTTGCAGCACACGCAAGGGAGCTCAGGATGCTGCACAGCATCTTGCTACAGAGGTAGGTGCCGTCTTTTTTCGTGCTTCCACACAAGAAAGGGTGCGTACTAAACACGAAGATGTTACTTGTAGTTTTCGAAAAATGGGCCCTACAACAATCCTCTCGTGACAAATCAGCAGCAATGTGATAGGCTTCAAGCAGCTTCCTTGTCAACCCAGGACAAGGTGTTGCAGTCTTGCATCCGTCATGGAGGTGGGTTTTGTGTTTCTTTTCGTGTATCAGCCTCCTGCTCTAGGGCTCTCACCACGAACCAACTTTTTACGCAGTTGCCTTCCACAATGGTGGCCTGGACCAGAAGAATCGAACACTTGTAGAAAGCCTTTTCCTGCGTGGAGACCTCCAGATTATATGCACAACAGCTACCTTGGCTGTTGGTGTGAACCTGCCAGCCCATCTTGTGGTGATCAAGTCAACTCAAATCTAGTATGGACTTGTCTCATACGAACGTCTGGCATTTTTGTATTTACAAGTAATCCATCTTAAAGAAAAATGTGTTTTTTCCTCAGCAACAAAGAAAAGGGCGGCTATGTGGAGTATGATCGAGCATCTATTCTGCAGGTAACCAGGTCCACACGTTCCATTTTCCTGTTCCACGTACAGCCAACCAACCTACAATATTGACGCTTATTGTACTTGCCTCTCCACCAACCTGATCGTGGCAAGATGTCGGGTCGAGCTGGAAGGCCACAGTTTGACAAGACAGGGAAAGTTGTTATTATGACTCGGCGGGAAACGGTATGGGAGTTACTCAGTTACATGAAAAGGAGTAGCTTTTAAATTTCTCAGGTTTGCGTATTTTTGTTGTTGATGCCAATGTGGTGCTTGCCTACAGGTATACCTTTATGAAAACCTAATGTCAGGCGCCCAGCCTGTGGAATCAGAGTAAGAAGTGTTCGGAGATGTTTTTCACTTTTGTTTGAGATTGATTAACTAATTTTCTTCGATGTTGTGGTCTGTAGGCTGTTGAATTCCATCATTGAACACCTCAATGCAGAGATTGTTCTTCTCACTGTTTCTGACATGAGCTTAGCCATTGACTGGTATAGTTGTGATAGTTATCCCATGGCGACTTTTGCTGCTTTGACGACGGTCCCTGTAGTGACCTCTTATTTGCATTCAGGTTGAAGAATTCTTTTCTTTATGTGCGGATTCAGAAGGTAAGTGGTCACAACTTCCATGTCCTCTGGTGCCAGTCAGGAGAATTGCATTCATTTCCACCCGTGAGATCTGCAGAATCCTTTGCATTATGGGATTCCTTCCAACTTGAGCGAAGATCAACTGAAAAGAAAGCTCAAAGGTGGGTTCCTCACAACAAGGATGGAGGGATATGTATTTCATTTTCATGTAAAATGGTATACTTGATATTACTGTGTGCTCCGTCTGCTAGATATTTGTGTGCAGAGCATCAATGAGCTTGTCAAGTATGGCATGGTCACCACAGACGAGTATAACTATGTTCTTCAGCCTGCAGGTGTGTTTTGAACTGATATATGTACAGTCTTGAATGGTAGATCGTCAAAGAAAATAATATTGTCCATGCAGAGCCAGGAAAGCTGATGGCTCAGTCCTATTTGAGTTTTGAGACCATGAAGGCGATCAGCCAGACTCCTAGTGGTGCCAAAATGGAAGATGTTCTTGGAGTTCTATGCCGATCGAAAGAACTCTCTTGTAAGTCATCCTGTATCCTGTCCAAATGTTGCATGCTTCACATTTTTCACTGCAACCTCTGTCTTTTGTGCAGGGATTAAGCTTAGGCGGTCAGAGAAGAAGTTTTTGAATGACATCAATAGTGAGTCTTCATCGAGGATTCGTTATCATGTTATGACGCCTGGGGGGAAAGTTAAGCGCCGGATTCAGGATGACAATGAAAAGATATTCATTCTCATCAATGACACCCTCTCTGGTGACCCATCCAATCTGGACTTTACCATGTCACAGGTGGGTGCTTTCCTATTAATTCTGGTTGTTTCTGGAGCATTGCCCTATTCATCCTCACTACATCGTTTTGCTTTACATTCAGGACGTGAAAGGCATCTGTACTAATGGTAACCGCATAGCTACCTGCATGGGTCGCTATTTTATTTTTTCAAAGCGGTACATGGAGTCTCTGTCTGCATTGTGTCTGGCAAAATGTTTGAGGCACCACCTGTGGGACACGTCTCAGTTTCTCCTTAAACAACTCGCTGGTGTCGGCCATGTCACCGCCAAAGTGAGTTCCGAGCCACGTTCATCCTGTCTTGTTATTTTCCTTTATGCATGACCTCTGAATCTTTTGGCTGCGGTGCAGGCGTTGCTTGCAGCTGGGATCGACAGCTTTGAAAAGCTTCGGCAGAGTGACCCTCGCAGGCTCGAGTCCCTCACTGGCCGCAAGTATCCCTTTGGGAACCAGATAAAAGAGGCCCTTGAGTCTCTTCCTCCCTCTGTGGATGTCACCATTGCTGAAGGAGAGAAGGGGAATTATTCAGGAAAGCACGAATTTCGGATCAGCTTGAAAAGAGCTTGCTTTCCCAAGACAACAGGGAAGAAGAACTTTGTGTATCTTGTAAGTTTTTCTCGCAGTTGCACCTCTACACCTTCACAATCTTTGAGCTGACACACTGCATATGTTTTACAGCTCGTAGGAAATGAGCAGAGCAACAGTCTTGTCTTCCATGAGAAGATTTGGTACGTGTGCTGGAAGCACTTAGAAGCTGTTTTTTCGTGGACATCTCAATTATTCAGCAGTTTGATTTGACACATATATTTCCTTCTTTGCAGCCTGGAGACATTCGCCAGGTAACCACCATCATCACCATATGGCATGCTTCGAAGCACATACTTCATTGTGTATGGTATTGCACAATCTAGTTTACGCTCGTTACTGCAGTCCGTACAACATTACTGTCAGCACGTCATTCACTGGGCCAAGTGCTACCCTTGTGGCCTCTGTTGTTCACGAAGACTTTGGTACGTTTCTGCAGCTGCTGAATGCGTAAACACATGCAGGAATTGAAACTAATCCTACCATTAGCGTTTGATGGTATCGAAAATAATAAATGATGGTTTTTGTCTGTGCAGTGGGAATCGATATACATACACGGTTTGAGATTGGGCCGCCTGTTCAAGATGGCAATGTTCATCGTACATCTGCTGCTGAGGCAGCCCATGCTCCTGAATCAAAGGAAAAGCTTCAAGTACGGACCACAGCAGCCGAGGCTGATGGGAAGAGTGGGGAGTTGCAGCAAGCTCGGATATCCGAGGAACGAGACGACCAAGACTTCGAACCGTGAGCATAAAGAAACCCAACTACGTTGGTTTCTAGCTGTGGTTGCTGATGGCAACACTAGTTGTGCAGGCCATCGTTCTCTTTGCTTGGGGAAGAAGACATCAGACCTCCTACCGGTACGTGTTGACAGCCAGCATGGAGCACTTTGTTGTCGGCCTAAGTTGGCATTGGCATGTGTATACTGTTTGCGGCGTCCTTTGGGCACTGGTGTTTTGAGTACTCCTGTGATCAGGTCTTGCTTCTGTTGCAGGTGGTCATTTTGAACAAACTTCTGACTCTGGCAGTGGCACTCTTGAAGAATCAAAAGAATGGAGTAACAGTGAGTCTTGCAGCACCATGATGTAAGTTTGTGATTTTCTTCACACTAATTTGACATGCTCTCTTACAGATATCTGGAGCAGTACCACTGAAGAGGGTGAAAAACAACAGGTGGTAGGAGGCAACAAGCCAAAGCGCAAACTCTCCAAATTTAGTGAGAATGAGGATGAAATGTTTAAGAGTGTCAGCAGGAAGGTGCAGAAGCTTTCTGCTGCTTCCAAGGGACCACTGACAGCACCTCACTGTGCAAGCTCCTTGGGAGCCTGCACTCCTGTGCCTCGTGGCTGGCCAGCCTCTCGTCCAGCTCCCTTCCCTAGGGGCTCCATGTCTTCCTTGCTCTCTGCAAGGTCTGCTGGAAGCAGATCTACGTTGACCAGTGGAGGAAGCAGGGGCTCACTGACATCAGGCAATCAAGAGTCAAGGAGAGAGCCAGCATTTTCGTCTCAACCAGGAAGTGCTGGGAGCTGGGCTTCTGAAGCTAACCATGAAGGTGATGGCCCCCAGGGGGGACCCATTCAACGAAGGGTTTTGTTTTCTGGCTTATGTGCAAGCAAAGAAAAGGAGACAGTGTCCTCACCGATCATGCACGGAAGAAATTCCAATAACCCGGAAGGCACTTTGGACTTGCCAACTGGCATCTTCGGCCTTCGTCTGAAGAGTTTTTCTTCCAACAGCATCAATGTGCCAGCAGCAACTAGTTCTCGTTCTCCATTAAAGGAGTCTCAGATGGGCAACAGTATGAGCAGCCTGTTTGACGATTTTCTTGATCGTCCGCCCATGGCAGTCCCAGCTGAAGCAGCCTGCATTGCTGGAAGAACTCGTCAAGCTGAATCGCAGACAATACTGTCAAAGTCCGACTCCAAGCCATTTGTGCGGGAGTTCGTTAAGCGACCTTTGACAAGCCACAACGAGGTGTTGAGGGAGATCAATCACCCTGAAAGGTGAGTGGGAGTGTTTTTTTTTTTTGGACTCTTGTGTGTGCTTTGCTGCCTGCCCTGAATCAAACAGCTGGTTTGCAGTCATGAATCACTGTCATTCTGTGTTCTACCTCCAGTCTGAACCTTTGTCACTGAACCCCGTTTTACTCTCTGGTGATTACAGGTCTAGTGACTGCTCGGTTGTCTCAGTTCAGAATCAACAGGAGTCACTGGATGATGCGTGCAATGGTAGCCTTTTCTCCTTTCTGTAGTGCTCCATCAATGTAGCAAACAGTGCAGTGTACAGTATGCATTTCTATACCTTAAAGCTAATCTGTACAATATTGAAACTAGCATTCACTTCGCCTTCTATTTTGAGGGTCAAGCTGCTTTCATGAAGGTGAGTTACAGAAATGTAACATCTCCAGAATGCTGCAGCTCTTATCCCAAAGTTCCCAGTCTTGCACAATTTATGACAGTGGGATGCACTAGCAATTTCACTTGCCAGAGTCTACCATCCATCTATGCGCCTGTGCTGATTATATATACTGGTACCTTCCAGCCACAAGGCCAGCAAGTCCATAGTCAATAAATGCATCTGCGGCCTTCTCCATGCTGTCGCCTAGACAGTTGAGCACTTGACAGTGATGCATGGACTAGTCCATGCAAAATGGCACTATATTATGAAGATCAATAAAACATTCATATCCCAATGTTCCAGCCATCGTCATTGTGCTTCTTCCGATTTCCACCACTGCCATGGAAAACCCTTGGGGCCTGCTTCTGGATGCCCCTCAAAGAGAGCCACAAGCCACTCAAGGGCATCAACCACGCGAGGACCTGACCGGTTGAACATCTGACTCCCATCCACCAATACCACCTTGCCCTGCTGCACTGCCCTCAGGCCCTTCCACCAATCGCATTGCACCACCGTATTGAGTTCAGTCTAACAAGAAAAGAAGAAGGGAGGGATAAAGTTGGCAATTTATGGGAGGGCTGGAACTGGGGGGAACAACCCCAAGGTTTAGGGTGCACAAGGAATTGACTGGTGCACGAGGCATCATACGATTGCAGAAGCAAAGTGACTTACCAGGGTTGTTGGAATATCAAAACCGCATGGGCACACTATGATAATATCAGGATCCATCTTCACAACCTCCTCTGGTGGTATGCGGAAGGAGGGCCTCGCCGCACTGCAAGCCAGGCGAGGCCAGGGAATTACAAGAATCGAGAAAAAAGGGGAAGCAGGGAATGAGGACGAAGCAAGAAGAGATGAGGAGGGCGATGGACAGAGTAGAGGATCAACATATTTCAGGAACATGAGCAATATGTGAAACCCGTTTCCACACCAATAGCCCTCAGCACCATATAGCAGCTTCTCCTTACTCCAGAAACCCCTTGCATCATGCAACCCACGCAAGCTCACCCAGTTGGTTGATCTGGTAGATTAAGGGGATGCTGGCCTCCTGCCATGTGGATAAGCTGTGGCGTCCAATGCCCCCCCATGAATATTGGCTCCGTCCATTCCATAAACAGTACCCGTGGCCTCACCCCCCCTGCCTTCTCCACCAATGCAGCTCCTCTGGCTGTTGCTGCTGCCACACGTGCTCTCAGCTCTGCCACTGCCACCTCCGCTGATTGTTCCAGGCCTTGAAAGTTGGCAGTTACAGAATGGAGTGAACACAAGGTGTGCAGGGAGCGGTGGAGGAACAAGGTAAGCATGGTAAAGGAGGGTGAGCATATGAAGAATACTGTGATGACGGATACTGACTGGGTTAGAAAAGTTGAGATGAGACACATGGTTCTGCTATATCAACAAAAGTAGGGTTACTCATGGCGTTGCGCATCAGAACAGCTGTCCCCAGGGGTTGTCCAGCACTAGGGATGTTATGCAGGGAGACTCACCAATGGAGGCGCCAATCCTCTCAATGTCGCTGAGGATGTCCTCCAAGGACATGGGCGACAGACTCACCACCTCCGGGCGTGGCTCCAGCTCCCTGTGGGCACGGGGTGTGAGGAGGCATGGGAGGGGAGGACGGAAGAGCCTGAGAGAGACGTCCGCAGGAGTGGCTCAGAGTTAAGGGAAGGAACATCAGGGAGGATAAGAGAGAAAGGAGAAGGAGCGGGAACGAGTGGTGCAGTGGGTGAGGAGTGGCGGTGGAAGAGTGAGGATGAACGAAGACAGAGAGGGTGGGAGGGAGAGAAAAAGAGAGAGCGGGAGCAGGAGAAAGGAGCACAAAACAGGGAAGACAGCCCTGCGAGCACGCACTTGGCTGCTGCTCGCACAGTGTCGTCACTGATCGCACACACGGTGCAGAGTCCCTGCGTTATAATCACGCTCGGCTTGACTCGATGCAGGATGTCCCGTTTGAGCTCGTAAAGCTCCTGAGCCGACGCCACGAGGTTGTTCACCTGGTCGTCGATGTCTGCAGGGGAGACGCTCGCGCGCGGACGAGCGACGGGAGGTCGAATAAGAAAAGCGCCATGGATGCAATTGAGAAATTTCAGAGCCATGGATGCAAATGAGAAATTTAAGAGCCATGGATGCAAATGAGAAATTTAAAAGCGCGTAATGGGTAATTGCGGCGAATATTGCGGCAAGGACTGGGACGTGGCGAGACACGAACAGGAGAGGCGGACCATCGAAATAGTAAACTAGCTTGCCACATCTTCGCCAATTCATCGCTCTAAATGATTATATTCATAAACGCGCTCGTTGCACGCAACCTCTGGTGTTCTACTAACACCGCACCTTTGGAGCTGCCGAGCGTGATGCGCGCGGCAGTGACGGCCGGCAACTGCACGAGCTCCGGCGGGAAGTCGTCGCTGTGGCTGCGCGCCACGAGCAGGTCCTTCCCGCCCACCAAACACACCGCCTCCGTCGCCGCCGGCAGCAGCGACACCACGCGGTGCGCCGTTTCCACCGCCATGGAAGGAGGAGCGGACCGAAGGGAGATGTGCGAGAGAGTAAACAGGGCTACCAACGAGACGCCAGGTAGGGATGGAGGCGAGTGCGGCGATGGTGTGGGGAGGGGATGACGACGGTGGGGGGGAGTGTGGTGGAAGCAGTGAGAGAGCTGCTGGTGATGGAAGTGAGAGAGGGTTCAGGAGTTGGGTGCGGTTGATTGACGAAGCAAAAACATCGTCACAGTTCTACACTTGAAGATGACCATCAAGAATGTGTACCGAACAGCTATCTGCCACAATTGAGCGGCCAAGAAATTCTGCATGTCTGACCCTCAGATATTAGGCTCACGTGTATGTCATATTTCAATCAGCATACCATAACATTACATTATACCTATATATTAGCTAATCAAACCAATTCAATCATAGTATTTGTGTTTAAGCTATAATACTGTGCAGTGGCCAATACCATGACCTGCTCCTACAATGGGGGCCTATTGCCAGGCTAGTGTGAGTGTGTGTCTTCGCGTCCAGTTGTCAATGTTAGCCTGCCTGACTCACCTCAGCCCATCAATCGGATTGAGAATCGTGCTCGCGCGCGCGGCATTTTGAGCCCCGGCGCGCCTCTTCCGTGGCTTCCCTGCTTCGCTCCCCCCATTTCCCCTTTTCGTTCCCCCCGTTCAGCCCATACCCCCCGCCCCCACTCCCACCGCGCCCGTTGGCCGCTGCAAGACTCAGCTGGGGCAGCAGATGCCGCTGCAATGCTCGTCGTTTCCTCCCCAATGTGTGGCGAGGGGAAAGGGGAGTGCTGAAATCTCGAGGTGCAAAATTAGTGCTGCATTTGAAACTGCTGCTGGATTCATTTTGCGTTTCAGCCGAAACAAATCCGCAGAGCCACGAGATTCGAATCGCAAAATTAGTTCAGCAGCGCTGCTGCTTGATTCATTTTGCCTTGCACTGCTGAGAGTGGAAATTGTGGTGTTGATATCTATCCATCAGCGTCGGCACTACTCTCTCCTCGCCACGCACTGCTCTCCTCGATGTGCTGCGGCCGCCTGAAGGTAGATCGTCACGGAATCAATTCACCGAAGGGAAAATCAGAGCGAGGCATCAGTCTTTGAAACACGGAAATCCGACCCAGCCACATTTAGTACGGGCCCAGAAGGGACCTTACAACATAAGAGCAGACATGATTCCGCGGTCCGCCATGGTTCGATTGGTAACTCTTCTCCCTGCGCGATTGCGTCAGTTTCACGACTGTTCAAGTCTACGAGAAAAGCCCTTGTATTTGATTCTCACGTCTGCACCGACGTTCCGCACTTCCGCTATCTTCTCTCGTCCCGAAAGTAGTTTTTCCTGTCTTTCCGTGTGTATTTCCAAAGCAGCGCCTTGGCCGAGGCTGTTGGTAGTCTTTCTTCATTCCCACGCCCATCTAGCTCGTCCTAGTATTATCCAAGTCGATGAGTCCCAGACCTAGTCCCGACAGCGACCCGCCGCAGCCGCGAACGGGCGTGACGTCTCCAATCACATCCGCGTTCGCCGGCGGATCAAACGCGAGCGCCGATGTGTTATTCTACGCCACTTCTGGTAGTGCTGCCGCCGCCGGTCCGTCTTGGAGCGCCCCCAGGCGCGCCGATAGGGTGGGGAAAGGCGCCAAAGGCGGGCCGGAGAACGCGCTGCACGGCTTCCGCGGGGTGCAGCAATAGAGCGCATGCTGCAGCTCTCAGAAGCCCTGCTCGGCCCAGCGGACCCTCCTACTCATGGCCCTCACGCCGCACCTCATCCTGACGGCTCTGATGACCGTCGTGCCCGTGTGGGCACCCCTCATGGCCCTGTGGGCCCTCACGCCTCTTCTGCTGCTGCATTTGAGGATGCCAGTGCGCTGCTGGCATGTAGTGGCTACCAGCGTCTCACCACTGGATTGCCTGATGCTGTGTCTCGCTCTGTGCCTGACTCTCTGCCTGGCTTTGTGCCGCATGCTTCTGCTGCTTCTGCTGCTGCTGCTGCTGCTGCTGCTGCTGCTGCTGCTGCTGCTGCTGCTGCTGCTGCTGCTGCTGCTGCTGCTGCTGCTGCTGCCACTGTTGCTTGTAAGCCTGTATGCGAGCTTGCAGACCTGGTGCCGACTGTGTCCCCGTCCCCCATGTGCATGGGAGGGGAGTTCGCACTACCTGGCAGCAACTACCTGCTGCCTCCTGCAGTGGGTGTGGCGCCATGTGCGGTGAATACTCTCACCATTGATGCTGCCCACGGCCAGCCGTGCTTTGACGAACTGCTGTCCCCAATGCCCAGGCTCTGGTGATGTGGGTTACATTATTGGGATAAAAATATGAACCCTAACTGAGCCGCACTCTCCACCGCAGCCTACTACAATTATAGCATTTGACATGCACTCACAGCTCTCATCAGCAGCCGCCGCCGGCGCAAGCTGCTGCGGGGCTGAGCTCGCTGCCGCGGCTGGTAGCAGGTGAGGGGGCCAAGGAAATGGGGGTGGTGGTGGGTGGGAGGTGGAGGGTGGTTGAGAGTGCTATCTGAGAGGTTGCAGGCAGCAGTGCACTCTGCACTGGCCTAGTCTCCCAGAGTCGAGCCGCTACGGCACTACCACTTTCACGATCTTGCAGGGAATTCAAGATAGGCAGATGATGCAAGGTTTGCAAGGTAGGGTGGGAATTGTTAAAAAAAAAATATTTATTTATGGTGTCTACCAGACACTTCACTTCCTTCACACATAATGTATATACACCGTGGACTAAGGTATGAAATATTAAAAAAAGCACCTTTCATTTCGCCACCTCCAACCGCTCTATTCTCCAGCACACCCACATTCAATGATCAAGTAATCCGGCCCGCCTTGAGCGCAGATTGTTGACCAGCAACCCGCAAGGCGGCAGGTTGGGCCAGAATCCATCGAAGGTGGATTTGCCACGTCACAAGATTTCTTCGCTCACTCATTGTCCCGAGCCAGAACTCCAAGACTCACATCGCAGAGGAATATCAGTAACCATGACTGGATTCTTCGCCACAGGGGAGAAATAGTAACTTCGCTAGTCTGACAATTCGCCCAGTACTGATCTCGTCATCCAGCCAATCCTTCACAGTGACAGGGGAGGCAAGATTCTGCTCAATTGGGACGAAGCCACTCCGTCCATTGGATCAATTTTCAGATCAGCATGCTCCTAGTAATCTCGTAGGCGTTGGCGCGAAGTTCCCGCAATTTTCCCAAAGCTGCGCATTCCGCCGACTATCCGTTGGCGGAACCTGGGTAAGGGCTCCGCGGACACCTCAGATTTGGCGGATCTTTTTTAGGGTGGCAGCATATTTCGTGGAGCACTTCCGCCAGCCCGCGCATTTCAAAGCCCAGCAACACTCACGACACTCACCGCTTTTCCGCCACTTCGGCGGAAAAGCGCGCGCTTTTACAGTAAGGGCGCGTGTCTTTTGGTGTAGACGTTCGGAATTTTGGTTAAACTTTTGCTGGTTACCCTTGTCGTTAATTTCGCTTAAACATTCGCCAGGACGTCGTGTGTCCACGTACACTTCCAGCATCGGAAAATGTTGAGCTCCCAAGTTGAACCCTCATCAACAAACAGGTTGGCACGAATGTGCGAGCGTGTGTCCACCTCATCACTGACAGCGACGATGCGAAGTCTGCGACGCTCGCAGCTAGCATCGTGCGCACGAGGGTGCTCGTCAGCGCGAGGCCTTACGTGGCGCGATGTCAAGAGTCCAAACCGGGTAACCTACAAGCGTAGGTCGCGGCTCGGCTGGGCTGCAAAAGTTCAACTTCGATAGTTGAACTTTTGTTTGTCGCGTGATTTTCGGGAGGGGTGGAACCGCGGCTCGGTTTGCAGTTGGTGAAAACTCGAGCCTAGCTCGAGCTAGGTTCAAATGACTACAGTTCAACAAAAAAATCGAGTTTTGCATTAAAAAAAACCAAAAGACACGCGCCCTAAACTCTTGTCGGTGGGCAGGGCATTCCTTCTCCGACAAAACGGGAAACCCCTTTAACCCGTTACAACCGAGCTCAACCATGGAATTACTCAAACCATTCCCGCAATCTCAACCCAACCCACGCAGCCACGGCAACGCCGCGTTTCCTCCCAATCTCGTTCTTCACCACCCTTCTCCTCCACTCCATTTTCACCGCTCCACCTCCGTTCTCCTCACATTAGGCTGAACAGCGTTCCTATATTTACAGAAGACTTCCCGGGATTTTAACAGCCAACTCTGCGGTACGTCCATACGGCATCAGGAACGAGCGTCGACGCTAGAAACGAGCTCCATCGTCAGCTCGTTAGTCGCCTAAACCCTAAACGATTTCCGCGGTCAGCAGAAATTCCGGCCGTCCGTGAGCGATTTCCGCCATGAGAACGCACAATCCCGCATTCAAGTGTGAACGTTAAAGCTCGCGACCTCCATCGATTGCCGCATCTAAGATCGTCCATGGCCAGGCTGCGCGATGACATGGCACGGCAAGATCGCGATTGGACATGGCACGGCACGACCGCGATTGGATATGGCACGGCACGACCGCGATTGGATATGGCACGGCACGACCGCGATTGGATATGACACGGCACGACCGCGATTGGATATGGCACGGCACGACCGCGATTGCTGCGTGGATAATCGCTTCGCGTCCAACCGCGTGATCCCTGCATCAGGTATGTTGCTCTTGCCGGACTACTCACATTAAACGCGTCCGCATCGTTCGGTTTCGAAATCGTTATCTTACTTATATTCCGCGTCTGGATGTGCAGAATCCATTCAAAGCGCGTTGAAGCGTTGAGGCGAAACCGCGGGGGAGAAACGCGGCGAGCAGCTCAGTGTGTCAAGTGGTGGTGGCGGACCATCACACACTGCCCCAGCAGCCACGTTCAGCCACACAGCAGCTGCTCTCTACCCAACCCACCACAGCGAAGTACCTCCTCCTCCTCCTCCTCTCTGGTGTCGCCTCCTCCTCCTCCTCTCTGGTGTCGCCTCCTCCTCCTCTCTGGTGTCGCCTCCTCCTCCTCCTCTCTGGTGTCGCCTCCTCCTCCTCTCTGGTGTCGCCTCCTCCTCCTCCTCTCTGGTGTCGCCTCCTCCTCCTCCTCTCTGGTGTCGCCTCCTCCTCCTCCTCTCTGGTGTCGCCTCCTCCTCCTCCCCCTCACTGGTGTCGCCTCCTCCTCCTCCCCCTCACTGGTGTCGCCTCCTCCTCCTCCCCCTCACTGGTGTCGCCTCCTCTCCCTCCTCCTCCTCCTCCTCCTCCTCCTCCTCCTCCTCCTCCTCCTCCTCCTCCTCCTCCTCCTCCTCCTCCTCCTCCTCCTCCTCCTCCTCCCCCTCACTGGTGTCGCCTCCTCCTCCTCCCCCTCACTGGTGTCGCCTCCTCCTCCTCCCCCTCACTGGTGTCGCCTCCTCCTCCTCCCCCTCACTGGTGTCTCCTCCTCCTCCTCCTCCTCCTCCTCCTCCTCCTCCTCCTCCTCCTCCTCCTCCTCCTCCTCCTCCTCCTCCCCCTCACTGGTGTCGCCTCCTCCTCCTCCCCCTCACTGGTGTCGCCTCCTCCTCCTCCCCCTCACTGGTGTCGCCTCCTCTCCCTCCTCCTCCTCCTCCTCCTCCTCCTCCTCCTCCTCCTCCTCCTCCTCCTCCTCCTCCTCCTCCTCCTCCTCCTCCTCCCCCTCACTGGTGTCGCCTCCTCCTCCCCCTCACTGGTGTCGCCTCCTCCTCCTCCCCCTCACTGGTGTCTCCTCCTCCTCCTCCTCCTGGTGTCTCCTCCTCCTCCTCCTCCTCCTCCTCCTCCTCCTCCTCCTCCTCCTCCTCCTCCTCCCTCACTGGTGTCGCCTCCTCCTCCTCCTCCCCCTCCCTGGTGTCGCCTCCTCCTCCTCCTCCCCTTCCCTGGTGTCGCCTCCTCCTCCTCCTCCTCCTCCTCCTCCTCCTCCTCCTCCTCCTCCTCCTCCTCCTCCTCCTCCTCCTCCTCCTCCTCCTCCACCTCCTCCTCCTCCCCCTCACTGGTGTCGCCTCCTCCTCCTCCCCCTCACTGGTGTCGCCTCCTCCTCCTCCCCCTCACTGGTGTCGCCTCCTCCTCCTCCTCAACCTCCTCCTCCTCCTCCTCCTCCTCCTCCTCCTCCTCCTCCTCCTCCTCCTCCTCCTCCTCCCCCCCTTCACTGGTGTCGCCTCCTCCTCCTCCCCCTCACTGGTGTCGCCTCCTCCTCCTCCCCCTCACTGGTGTCGCCTCCTCCTCCTCCCCCTCACTGGTGTCGCCTCCTCCTCCTCCCCCTCACTGGTGTCGCCTCCTCCTCCTCCCCCTCACTGGTGTCGCCTCCTCCTCCTCCCCCTCACTGGTGTCGCCTCCTCCTCCTCCCCCTCACTGGTGTCGCCTCCTCCTCCTCCTCCCCCTCACTGGTGTCGCCTCCTCCTCCTCCCCCTCACTGGTGTCGCCTCCTCCTCCTCCTCCTCCTCCTCCTCCTCCTCCTCCTCCTCCTCCTGCTCCTCCTGCTCCTCCTCCTCCTCCTCCTCCTCAAGGCAAGCATGGCTGCCACCACATTGCATGATAAATCAATGTTGGTAATTCCTTGGATCTGACCTGGTGTCAGGTTTTGCAAGTTGACCTGGCTGGTCTGTTTGCTGGTTCTTTCCCAATCCCATAGAGAATCTGCATGCAACTATTAGCTATTAGTATAAACGTAGTCACTGCCATACGATAATATGTACAGGACGTATCTCACAGCCTGAAGCACACAACCAGAGCCTAGACATGGGGGACAGCAGTTCCTCAAAGCAAGAGCATTCACAGCACCCGATGCCTGCTCACATGTCGCCATGCGCACTGCAGGTGGCAGCATGCAGTGGCCGCCAGGCACTGTTAGCTCCCCTCCCATGCATGGTGGGGACACAGTCGGCAGCAGGTCAGCACTCCCGCTCACAGGCTCACAAGCACCAGCTGCGCCCTGCTCTCCCTCAGCGCCTGCACCATCGCTCCCTGGGCTATGAGAAGTGTTTGCAGCAGCCCCTGCACTGCCACTGCCGCCCATCTCTCGCGCACCAGCTGCGCCCTGCTCTCCCTCAGCGCCTGCACCATCGCTCCCTGCTGCTCCATCGCTCTCTTCTGCACACCATGCTCCATGCCTGCTCCTCCCGCATGCACTGAATCTGCCCCATCCGTGCCCCTACCACTCCACACCCCGGCACCAGCATCCTCAGCCGTCCCAGCAGTCCCCATCCAGGCGTTTCCAGCGGTCACAGCGCCAGCACTGATGCCCATCTGCTCGCGCACCAGCTGCGCCCTGCTCTCCCTCAGCGCCTGCACCATCGCTCCCTGCTGCTCTACTGTTCTGTGCTGCACCCAGGGCACTGCTCTGCCACACCCCCACGGCACTGCCATGCCAGGTGCTTGCATGCCGCGCACCGCCAGCGCCGGCTGCTGCGTCATGCTTTGAGTCGACCTGTAAATCTCTGGCATGCCCCCGGGTGGGTCATTGCTGGTCACCGACATAACTGGGGGGCTTGCAAAAATGCTGCCATACGGAACAAGCCCCCCGCGCACCGTCAAAGCTGGCTGCTGACTCAGCTGGGCGGGCAAAACAGCAGGGCACGGGGGAAAACGCATGTTCGCCGCCCCCTGGTTTACCGCTACAGCAAAAACTCCCTGATTTGAATCACAGTGCTGGTTCTTCTGATTCCAATACTGGTTCACAATGCTGTGATCAGCAATGCCGCCGCCATGGCTCCAGCCAGAGCACGCCACGGACTCCTTTTGAGTCGACTCAGAACCACAGCACGTCACGGACTCCTCCGCCTGCTGCTGCTCCCCGCGCTTCAGTTGCCTGCTCTCAGTCGACGGGTCGACGCGCCCCGCGCTGCTCGCCTCGGGCGCGCGGAACGACTCAACAAGCCCCTGCCACATGCCGCGCTTCTCAACGGGCCCCTGCCACATGCCGCGCTTCTCCGCTGACGGGGCGCGCGCGCCGAGCGCGGATGCGGAGGTAGACGCGGCGGCGGGGGCGGTGAGCGGCGGACACGAGCGGTTGAAGATCTCTTGGAACGTCATGCTCGGCAGTGGCAAGGCACCGATGTAGTCACATCGCGCTGCAGCGAGAGTTCCTGTGTCGAGCGACGAGGGTCGGGAGCCCGCCGCCATGGCGGCACCGACGGCGCTCTCCGATGCGTTGGAGTCGCGCGTTAGAAACGGCGCGCCGCCGGGTAACGCGAACCTCGACAGCGACGGATGCGTCGCGTCGTCGCTCGACGCGCAGCGCGGTACATGCGCAGGCGTTTCGACGGAGCGCCTCGTCCTCACCCCGCGTTCGGCGCCGCCGTTGATCACGCCTGCGTAAGGGGCGCCGCCTTCGCTGTCGCTCCCGGCACTCCCGCCGCTGCCGCTTCCGCTGCTGACCAAGCCGCTGCGGGCGTCGGCGGCGCGCAAGCTTGCGCCGTGAGGGTGGCTGCTAGCGGGCGCGGAAACTGCCGCCTCGTCGAAGAAGTTAAGCTGCGCGCGCGGCCCGTACAACTTCCGCGCTGCGCGGTCGTACGTCAGCGCAGACGTCCGCGCGTCCGCGAACGACCCTGGCCAGATGCGCTTCTTGCTGCGCGGCGCGCGGATCTCCGCCACCCACTTCCCCCAACTGCGCTGCCGCACTCCGCGGAAGCCGTGCAGCGCGTTCTCCGGCCCGCCTTTGGCCCCTTTCCCCACCTTGTCGGCGCGCCTGGGAGCGCTCCACGAAGAAGTGACATTGAAGAACGCATCGGAACTCGCGTTCAATCCGCCGGCGAACGCGGATGTGATTGGAGACGTCAGGCCCGTTCGCGGCTGCGGCGGGTCGCTGTCGGGACTAGGTCTGGGACTCATCGGCTTGGATAATTCTAGGACGAGCTAGCTGGGCGTGGGAATGAAGAAGGACTACCAACAGCCTCGGCCAAGGCGTTGCTTTGGAAATACTGAAGGAAAGACAGGAAAAGCTAACTTCAATCCGCCGGCGAACGCGGGAGTGACTGGAGACGTCGGGCCCGTTCGCGCTGCGGCGGGTCGCTGTCAAGACTAAGACAGGACAGACAGGAAAAACTACTTTCGGGACGAGAAAAGATAGTGGAACTGCGGAACGTCGGTGCAGACGTGAGTGTCAAATTTAACGGCTTTTCTCGTAGACTTGAGCAGTCGTGTAACTGACGTAATCGCGCGGGGAGTGGAGTTATCAATCGAACCATGGCGGACCGCGGAATCATGTCTGCTTTTATGCTATGAGTTCCCATGTGGGCCCGGACTAAATGTCGCTGGGTCCGATTTCCGTGCTCCAAAACTGATGCCTTGCTCCAATTTTCCCTTGGGTGAATCTTGTTAAGCGACGATCTACCTTCAGCTGCAGCACATCCGCGAGAGAACAGTGCGTGGCGAGAGTGAAGTGCGTTCGGCTGGTGGATAGATATTACTGCAATCCCCACTCCCAGCAGTGCTAGGCAAAATGAATCAAGCAGCAGCGCTGCTGAACTAATATTGCGATTCGAATCTACTGGTTCTGCGGATTTGTTGCTGGGTTGCGCACCTCGCCATTTCTGCAGTCCCTCTTCTCCTCGCCATTCGCCGCTGGTGCTCCCGCCATCCACATGAAATGTCACGTCGTGCTGGTCATGAACCACCTCAATCGCTGGAGTCACCTCAAGGACCCGATAGCGCGATGGCCTCCTCGGCCCAAACTACCCGCCTGTTAGGCTACGAAGCTAGTCAAACCCTAAGCCGCCTAGGCAGGTTCCCCCTATACGACTCAGCTTCGTTTCCAGGTAAGTTTATGCTATCACGACTCAGCTTCGTTTCCAGGTAAGTTTATGCTATCGTTTTTCTTTTTCTTTTCTACAGCTCCCGTTTTTACGTGGCTACTCCACACCCCGGCTCTACACCAGCAGGATAGCCCCCACTCCCCGCCCCCTTCTATTTATCGACTCCAATTGGCCACTCCCTCCCCCAACGTATCACTGGCGGACTCCCTCTCAGCCTCAACGCGCCACGTCAACCTTCGCTCCAGGTAAGTGCAACCCTCCCCTTCTCCTTCTCCCCCGTGGCATTTCGCGCTCACTGCAAATTTCTGCTCCATCCTCAGCGCCAGCTAACCCCAACTTCCCTCCTTTTTTCTGTGCGCACTCACCCAATCTCACTCCACTCCCTCGCCTCATCCCCGTCCCCTCCCAGGAAACTCGGCTGCGTTGTTTCCAAACCCTCACCAACAGATCGGCCTCCTCCTGCCAAGCTGTCCCGTTCTGCATCGAACACCAAGGACTTCCTCGACAAACTGCAATCGCCAAATACAGCTAACCTCCCCTCCCCTCCCGTTTTTCTGGTCGTTTTTTTCCCTGCCTTCGTCCCGCCTTTTTTGCCTACGTGCTATCTCCTCTTGCCTCTGTACTTCCGTGCCTTCCCAAGCGCCACCACTACCGGACCTCCCGTCCCCCCTGGCATTAATGCTGCATTTTTCCCGCTTTCCACTCAAACGCCGCCTCCGGCAGAGCCCTCTACATGGCTCAGAAACTTGGCGCGCCGCCTAGGCTGCCAGTTTCGTTTCTCGCGCGCGAGCGCTTGGACCCTCGAACGGTCCCGGGTTTCGGGCTGCCAACTAGGCGCCCACTCCCGCCTCTGGCCCTCAATTTACTCGCCACGTCGCCACGCTTCCCTCTGCCTACGCGCTGCCCATGCACTTCCAGGCATTCCCCTTCCCGTCCGCCCTCCCTCCAACCCTTCCCAACGAGCCGCCAACAGAGCCTCGCCTCCACGGCGTCACGCCCGTCCGCCTCCGCCGCGTCTCTGCCTCCCCTCCGTCCTGACGCTCCCCCGTGGGCGCTCCCTCGCTCCCTCCCTATTTAACCCACCTCAGCCTTCGTCAATCACTCAACTCTCTTCTTCCAGTCCCCTACGACTCCTTTACACACTCTTCTTTATGGCTGAGCAGGTTTTCAACCCCGATCTGACGATGTCCGCCGCTGAAGAGGAAACTATCGCTGAAACCGGCGACGATCTCTTGGTCGACGACCTTCCCGAAGGACTTATCGATGACCTCGCGAGCTCCCCTGACCACCCTGCTGCGAAGAAGCCCTGCATGGACCCCGGAGCTGGCCCTGCTAGCTTCAACTCCCCCTCTACCTCCTCCGATTCGGCGCTGGCGCAGCCCGCGCCGTCTCCCGTGCTCCTCGCTGCTGCTGCTGCTCCCACGGCGACTCAGCAAGGCCCTGCGCCCTCTCTGGCAGCAACAGCTGCCGCCCCCAACGGCCCGGTTCTTCGCGCTGCTGCCTACGCAACGGTCGCCTCCGGCGCTAACCCGGCCCCCGCGCTGCCCGCCTCGCTCTTTGCCTCATCCGTGCCCGGCGGACCCCCCCGCAACCTCCGCCGCGCGCGCACTTCCGCAGCCACCCCGATGCTCCTTCCCCTCCGCCGCCGCGTGGTAGTCACGATCCTCCTCCCGGAGGCTATTTTGGAGACGCATCGCACGGAAATCCTCGCCGGGATCAACGCGCAGCTATGCGGCTTCATGTTTGATTCGGGCATCATCCCCCCCTTCGAGCACACCGTTGGCGAATCCCTCCGCGTGGCTCGCCACGTGTACGGCCGCCTGCTTTTCTCTTGGCCGTCGCAGGAAGATGCTGCGGTTTTTCGCAAGATTTTTCCCCTCATGCTGAAAATCTCCAACTCCCGCCCCGTCATGTTGAAGGTTTTTGTTGATCGTTCTGAAGTTTTTACCGCGGCAAAGGCAGCCGGCGCCCCTACCCTTTCCATCCGAAACGTCCCCCTGGAGATCGATCCGGAGGAGCTTCGTGCCTTCCTCCTCGGATCCACCGAGGAGGACGGTTCGCATTGGCTCGCGGACCTGATTGAATTTCACCGCGCTTCCGATCCCTACGAGAACACCTTTTTCACCCACCTCGCAGGGCTCCCGGTCGCCACCCCCGATGACCCGAATTTCGAGCGTATCCCGTCCGAAATCCTGCTGGAGGAGAACAAACCAGCTATGCTGCTCAACTTCTCCTGCCACGTGTGCACGCTGTGCGGCAACAACCACCGCGCACCGGACCACGAGACTTTCGCTGCCCGCCGCCGAGGACGCCTCACGAACAAGAACACAATCTCAATTGCTCAGCTGCAGCAGGCAAATGGTACGAAATCTACTCCTCTTGTCTTGGCAAAAATCCTCTCTTCTTGTTGTCACTGCACGCCCTTAGCCTGCCTCCGTTGCCCTCTCATGTGCTCCTCCTCTACCCCCCATCCACTCACCACTCCCCCCTCGGCCTTCCACCTCCCCATCACGCAACTTTCTTGCTCCCATCCAACACCCGCGCTCTCCCCCCGCTGTCCTCCCCTCCCTAAGAGCCCCCGCCCCCCACTGCCTTGCTGTCCCCCCCCCGCAAGGTCGTCTGGGCCCCTGCCACCCCTACTTTCATTCTGCCCCTACCCACTCCCCTCGTTCCCTCCCTTCTCACCCCTCTCCCTGTGCCAGCTGCCCCCCCTTACCCTGACTTCCCCTCCATCACCCACCCCTCCCTTACAGCTCCCCACCCCCCGGCCTTCCATGTTGTGGGGCTCCCACTCAACCCCTCTTCCCCCCCACGCCACCCCCCCCTCCCTGCTCTTCCCAACACATGCAGGCAAGCCCCCCCCCATGGACGCTCAGTCCCTGTCACCTCTGTACCCTCCTCTCCCCCCCCTACAGTCGGGACTCCGCCCATCCTCACGAACCCCCCATATCCCCACTCCCCCCACGCAATCTCCGTATCGCGAAATCCCTTTTTCACCCATGTTCCCCCACCCCCTGCCCCTTCCCACGTCAACGCCCCCCCACACAACACTCCTGCCCCTTCCCCCTCTGAGGAAAGTACCCCGCCCTCCCACAAGCTCGCCCCCCACCCGCACCCTCCTCCCACTAGCAGACTGGACCCTCTTACGGTTCCCCCCTTTCTGCCCCCTCCCGACACTCCTCCCATGGTCCCTCCAGAGGGCGGGCCCCCTGCCCAACCCTATGCTAGCATGGAGACGCTCCCCCCCCCCTGCCCTATCCCCCCCTTTTTCAACCAGCACTCCTCTTTGCTCCCCCCACCCCCCGACTTCCCCCCACACCTCCTCTCCCCCGATTCCCCTCCTCTCCCCCCCCCTACCCTCAATCTCGCCTCCCCCCCCCTCCCTCACTCCTTTCACCCCCCCCCTCACTTTCTTCACCCCCTACACATTCAGGGACCCATCTGCAACCGCCCCCTGTGCTATGACCTGGCTGCCCGACTCCCACCGAGGCTCTCCCCCTCTTCCAACAGCCCTCTCCCCCCGGTCTCTCCCACATTGCTTTCGCGCAGGCCAATCCACCCCCCTCTGGTTCCTTCTCCCCCCCCCGCCTGGACCCCCGAACACCCCCGCCCCTCCCCTGCGCCTCCCCCCCCTCCCTGCACCTCCCTCCACCCGCAGCCAACCAGGCCACATAGTCTCCCCCCCCTCGGCCTTCACCCCCACGTCCCCCTCCTCCCTGACTCCCCCTACCCGCCCCTCATCCACCCCCTCGTCCCCCCTGCCCCCCCTGCCTCACCCCAACCGCCTCCTCTCTTGCAGGCAACTCTTTGGGCAATCATGCAGCGCCGACCGCCTTCAGCAACGACCCCGGCCTCCTCTACATTGGGCTGGGCGATTGGATCGAATACTGGACCTGCACTCTCTGCGACTTCACCTGCGGCGCTGCCCTCGACAGCGCCATGGAGCATATCCACTCCGACCTGCACGTCACCCGCGTGAAGGCCTCCGCTCACCGCCCGGCTGCCAAGGAAGAATTTGGCCCCTGGCGCGCACTCACCCTGCTGCAGCAGAAGCCCCCGGTGGCTGCCTTCCTTCGCGGTCGCCCTTAGCGTCACGACCTGCGCACCTTAGCTTCGATGCGTGGCTAGTTCCTTGGCTTGGTCATTTAGCAGGCACCCAGTTAGACCTCGGATATGCAACTCATGTGCGCACAATCATGTTTGTCAATCTCTACGTATTATCTTTTTCCCTGTCAGTCTTCACTCCAACTCTCACATCCACGCAAAATACCAAATACGCCATTTTTAAACCCTCACCCCAACAACTACTCAACCCCACACCTGCCTCACCCACCTCACGCTTCTACCAACCTTCACCCCTCGCGCACAGGCCATGCCAGCCACCTCAGGCCCCTGCCAGCCCGGTGGAGTTGCGTCCCCCCGCACGCGTGTGCTTCACACCAACCATCATGATCGCACACCCTCACAATTGTTGCCTCGCCGTGAACAGTCCAAACCAAGCCCCAACAATGAACGACCTAAGCAGTCGCCTAACCCCCCAAATCACTAACACCAATACCCCAACCCCGCTTGACACTCGCCTAACGCGCAGCCATGTCAAGCTCACTCTCACCATGAATCACCAGAGCGAGCATCCACGCCTGTTTATCACACACGCCCCCACCTGTACGCCCGACCGCTGTCAGCGGCCGCAACATCTCCTTACACCTGCCTTAAAATCTCCCCCTGTAATCGTGGCCTCCCCTCCCGCCAGAGGTTCTCAATCGGTCGACGCACCTACCGACCGAAATCAACCCTCGCACGGACACAGAAGAGGCGAGATGGCCTCGCCAAAGAGCCCCCCTCGTCCGCCTACCACCACGTCTGTTCCTGCTGACCCCCGTCCGCCTGCCCCACGTTACTTCGCTACTTATTCTCATACGTCGTCATGGTTGACATGCTCCACCAGTGAAAACGCTAGCACCCCCGACCCCCGGTGTACTCTCTTTCTTGTCGCTACCCAGGAATACAACTTTTACTGCTCTCATAAAGGCAGACTCATCCCACGCTTCACCTTGACGCATTTACGCATTATTGATAACACGCCACCTATCAGCTCCGCTACTACTCAAAACTGGAGCCCTTCACTTCTCACTCTTAAGTTTAACACACACTTGCTCAAGCTTCACCTGTATGCGGCACCTCAACACCCTGGTTCTGTCGCCCAATATCTGCCTACCTTCTCGTGCGCCTCTGTTTCCGTCCGAATCAATCCACCAACAACATACCAGCATACCCACCACCAACCTCAGTTCGCACTCGTTGACAGCTCGACTGTTACCCACAACCTCCACCAACTTCCTACCCTTCTGTATAAACACCCACGCCCGTGGATCCGCGCACACTCCTGCGCGGTGGGCTCCCACCTGGTAGAATGTTAACGCCCCTACGAGTCCGCTGCCTCAACATCAATGGTATCAACACGCCGGTTAAACGAAATGCTCTAAAGCGTTGGCTCTCCTCCTCCTCATCGCACACAGATATTCTCATTTTAGTGGACACACGCCTCTCCAAAAACCTACCTAAACTGTCCCTCCAACTCCGGCCACACTCTTCGGTACACGCACCCACCCTCTACGCACTGAATTCAAACGGTCATCCATGTCCGCAACCCGGTGGCATCTCCATCTTATCTTTCAACAGAGAAATATCTCTCACCTCCCCGTCCCCCTCCGCCGATGGCCGCCTCCTATCCGTACATATCAACTTCCTGCGGGAGCAACTTCGCATCCTCGCTATCTATGCGCCGAGACCTGCCACTGACCGCCGGATCTGGTGGAGATCCATCCTAACTCCCGCACTGGAGCAACCCACCGCAGCTGCTGCCACAATCCTCGTCGGTGACTTCAACTCGGTAACCTCCCCCTTAGACCGTAACCGTCCGCTACTTGGTCACGAACTCAGCGAAGCCACCATGATGTCTAATCTCCTGCTATCGCACGCACTGTCCGACGTGTACCGCTCACTCCACCCTACCGCCCCCGTTTTTTCCTACTTTGGCCGCCGGGCCAGTGCTAGCACTGCTCTCCCGCCGGCCTCCAGACTGGACCGAATCTACCTCTCCAGTTTATTCATCCCTCGGGTCTCTGAAACCTCCTACTTCTGGACCCCAACTTACGTGTCTGACCACTCCTTTGCACCCCTCTGCACCCTCATATTCGATAACCCAACCATGGCACCGCGACCTTGGCGTTTCAGCTCCTCTCTTCTCCACCGGCCCCAAGTCGCTACCATAATCGAATCTCACCTCCCCTCCCTGCCATCACCCCCTTCCGCCGATGCATGGGACGCCTGGAAACTGGCCCTCACGCTTAGCCTCAAAAGTTTCTCGAACGAAGAGCGCAAAAGGGTTACAAGCACTACAAACCACCTAGTACAACTCATCAGCCACCTTCAGCTCCAATCTGCCCTCTCCCCTCTTGACCATGATGCGACCACACAGCTCCTCAAAGCTCGCACTCAACTAACAAAATACGAGGCATCCAAAACCGCCGAGCTCGCTCTAAAAGCAAAGCTCAAAGTCGAAGGCCATAGGGAGATGGGAACCTCCTCCCTGCTGGCAGGACTCAACTCCCGCATCAAAGACTCATTAATATCCTCGCTTATACTACCAGATGGACAAACCATCTCAGATCTACGAGTCATGAACGCTGAATGCACCAATTTCTTCCAGTCTCTCTACTGCGGAGCAACCCCGGGCGTGCCAAATCCTGCCTTCTGGGCTCATATCCCCCCCTCTTCACTCCCCCCCAGACTCCTCAACCATCTGCAAACTCCCTTTTCCCTAATGGAAATTAGCAAGGCCTTAAACCAGCTCTCCCGTGGCAAGACCCGCTTCGCCCCCGCATTTCTCTCACTCTTCTCCTCACCGCACATCTCCGCTACCCTCCCGCCGTCAATGCTATCAGGCCGCACAGTCCTTATTCCCAAGAGGGGTAGCTCCTCTATGATCGACAACCTCCGCCCTATCACCCTCATGAACTCGGACTACAAGGTGCTAGCCTTATGCCTTGCCAATCGGCTGCAACTCGCTCTTCCCCTGATTATCCACCCCTCCCAAACCGCTTTCATTAAAAGCAGAAAAATTGGCGATACGATCAACGATACACTTGACATTTTCGATTGGAGCACAATCACGAAAACCCCCCTACTCGCCTTAACGGTCGACTTCCGCAAGGCCTATGACCTGGTCGATCGAGCTTTCCTCTTCCAAGCGCTAGCCAGGGTGGGACTCCCCGAGCAGTTTATCGCCTGGGTTCGCCTCATGCACACTAACACCTCCACCTGCATCTCCGTTAACAACCTTGCTGGACCCACCTTCCCAGTCCGAACCGGGGTCCGACAAGGATGCCCCCTCGCCCCCCTCCTCTTTGTGTGTGTCATTGAAATCCTACAGCGCTACCTATCGCTCTTCCTCCCGGGTTTCCCCCTCTCTCCGACCCAGCGCCGTCTCATGGCCTGCTACGCTGACGACGTCACCATCTTCCTCTCCTCTGTTAGAGAGCTTGGGACCACACTCATACACCTCAGGACCTTCGCCGCAGTCTCAGGAGAACACCCTAACTGGAACAAATGCTCAATAATCCCTTTTCATATCTCCCCGGAACAAATCCTTCTGGCCGGCCCCATTCCCATTCGCACTCCTCAAGAGGCAGAACGCATTCTTGGCATCTACGTTGAACGTGCACAACCAGGCGCCACCACCTGGTCCACGACTCTCTCTCGCGTTCAGCGCACGGCTAAATTCCTCGCCGCCCTTCGTGCCACAGCCACCTGCCGCAAGTCACTTGCGTTGGTCTTCTTAAACTCTATCATCTCCTTCCCCGGCCGCTTTCAAACCCCCTCCCCCGACGTTATCAAACGATTAGACGTCCTGGTCGGAAACTTTCTATCCTCTTTGCGTTTCAAGGAGCACGGCCTAGCGGTCCGTCTCATCCCTAATCGGCTCCTGTATAATTCCACCCGCCACGGAGGCCTTGGAGCGACTGCCCCCTCCACCCAAATCCGTGCTCTAGCTGCTCACCGCGCGCTCCGTCGCCTCGGCGCCTCACCATCAGAAGAGATAGCCAGAGCCGCCGTCTGCCTCCCATTTGGCACACACTGTCTCTTCGCGCACCCTGCCATCCTTCAAGCAGGCATTCTGCCAACGATAATCCCAGGCCGAGCACTCGCTGAACTACACGCATTAATAGAGATCACTCCGAACATTGCCCCACCTCGCCTCGTCCCCATGTGTATAATGGGCGAGCCCACCGCCTTCAATCGTTTCATTCTCAAACCAAACGGGAAGCCCTTCGGAATCCTCACGCGTGAACACTTCCTCCTATCTAAGCAGGTCCGTGTCGGCCATTTGATCTCTCTTATCTTTCACTCGCTTGGTGTGGTCTCCTTCAAACACTTCACCTCACTGTTTCCCATAGCCAACTCCTCCTCTGGATGAAGAGTCTGGTGCGAACTCATCCGTGCCATCCCCAAACCCTGGTGGTCAACCCTTCGCTCCCCCCCTCCCCCCTCGGCAGTCCCTGGGGAGTGGTTCGTCCCACTATTGCTTTCCAGGTCACGGCCTTCTCCCCTCCGTCGTCGCTCTCAGTCTCCCTTTACCGTGTCCTGCCCAACCGACTCATCGTCCGACCGTCGATCGGAGATAGCACCTTCCACATAGGTGCCCTCTGTGCGGTACACGTTGTCGGGTCCTGGCTTGCAGGCCCCTTCCATACAGGTGCAGGGCTTGGCGCGCGGCTCGACATCCTCCGGGACGGCTGCCCAAGCGTAGCTGACATTCGTCGCCGGCTCTATGCTCAACTTCCCCTCGACCACGCCGCCCGCTGGATCCACGACCTCCCCGCTCCTCCTCCCTTCCTCCCCGACCTCTCCCATGACTTTCTACGGGAGCAACCCAGCCTCCAACGCGACGTCTTGTATCGGTTCTACACTCGCGCTCTCCCTTCGGGTTCACGCTTCAACTTCGCCGCAGACCGTGGGATTTGTTCACTCTGCCTCGCCGCTCCCACGGAGACCATATCCCACATTTTTTACGAGTGCGGGGTGGCCCCCGCGGTGATTTCCGCCCTCTCCTCCGTCGCTCGTCGTCACCTCCACTGCTCTCCTCCTCCTGAGCTCCTGCTCTTCCCGCTCGCCTCCAGAGCTGGCCAGGTGGCCCCTTGGAGCCTTCTGGTTGGGGCATCTACAAAAGCTATTTGGAACGCACGCTGTGAACACAAGTTCCAAGATTCGCCCCCCTCCCGGTTTGAAATCCTCCAGCTCATACTGGCAAAGTTCCTCATTGCTTTCAAAATTTTCTTATGGCGCAGGAAGAAACAATCAGTGAAAAAACAACAACGCTCAGCCGCTCGTATTAAGCTGGCCACTCGACTTCGCTTTCTCGTCTTCGACCACAACGGAACCCCTTCTATCCACCCAGACCTCCGCTCTTCCTGGCTGCTTGGGGACCCTTTCCGCCCCCCCTAGCCCTCCCACCCTTTGTTGAGCATAGAAGAGCTCCCCAGCTGAGCTGGTGGCTATCCTTGGATAGGGGAATAACGTGTTTTCTTACGTACGCTTCTGGGCTGTTGGTTTGTGTAGACCATATTTCTAGCTACTCTATGCTTTGCTGTACACGGTTACGACCTAATATAACCTTAACCTTAACCCTCTTCTCCTCGCCTCACCTTGGGGAGAAAACTATGTACACCCTCATTCTCAGTCTGTGCACAATCGCCACATGCACCGAACGCTTGTAGTGACTGCAACGTGCCTAGAATGGTGCATGCACATACTCTACAAGCACAATCACGACTGCCACGTTGGTAATGCAGCTGTTGACTTTGACTGGCAGGAAGTGTACAGTGCGCTCACATGTGTGGTTGGCTGCCGTTGCTTTTCGCTCTACCATACGTTACCCCTTTCTACCGAACGTAGATATTCTGTATGTGTTTTGAACCTGTGTTAGGAATTGTCTGTTTCTTGTGTGTTTTGATGTGGAATCTTTGGCCACAGTGTAGGACAAAGTGAACAAGTCGTTTCGAATGTTACTGTTTTGGCGCTTGGTGCATGGTGTGCCTGGCAACATTAGGGGGTTCGGCCACAAGCACAGAGACGCTACCTGACAACACTGTTGTCGCTGCTCCCGATTGTGCGTAGACTGAGAATGAGGGTGTACGAGCTTTGCAGCGGCATTTGATGCCGAGTGGGAGGGAGTCTAGCAGAAGCGAACGGGCGGGGTGGGGGGAGAGGAGGGGGAGGGCTAGGTGGCGGGCAAGGCAAAAGAGGAAATGGGGGGAAGGTATGGGGGTTAAAGTTAGGCTTTTCGCCAACTCGGACGTTTTGGCTCCCTTCAAAAAATGCCCTGAAAACGCAGGGCCGGCCCAAAAACCGCTCGTAAAAATCAGGGCTGGCCTAAAAATTCCTCGTTTGCGTAATTCGTTACTTCCGCGGCAATGGAGACTTCTTTCTGGCAAAAGCTGATGTTGGAACTTGTGCTTCTTTCGTGTGGAACTCTGCTCACAGAGAGCAAAAGTGTACAGGTGCCTCCGAATTTGACTAAGGAACAGAGGGGCGGGAGGGAAGCATTCAGGTGTACGATTGCCTCCGAATTTGCCAAAGTCCAGGAAGGGGAGGAGAGTCTACCTGTGTTGGGTAGGGGCGAGGTTGGGGGTAGTTAGAGCCTTAGAAAAAGTTTTGAGTCCTTCGAGGGAGTACTCGGATTCATCAGAGTCAGCCCTGGAAGTGCTCGGATTCAGTCAGGGCTGGATGAAAAAATCACCTGTAAAAATCCGAGTTCGGCTAAAAGATACCTTGGACTTTCAGTCAAGAACGAGCATTTACCCTGATAGCCTGAGCCCTGAGCGGGACATAGGGGGAAGGTAGAAGAGAGGGAGAGCGAAGCAGGGGGACCAAGCGAGATTTGGCAGCAAAAAAGCGATGTAGTCCGTGATCTGTTCAAGTCGGTTTTCTTCGGTTCATTCTTAGAGCTCTGCTTTTTTTTTTTGGGTTGCGAAGCAACCCTTTACGATCGATTTTGCCAAATTTTATTTTCATATTTATATTTTTTATAAAATCATGAAAATAAAATTTGTCAACTACAATAATACCCTTCCCATACTGTATGCATGTTGAGCAGTTTTGAATACAGTATTGTTCATAGTGCATTAAGCCAAATGATATTTTCCCAATTGTTTAGTGTAGATTTGCTGTACTGTTTGCATTATATGTTACTGTTAGATGATGTTGTGTAATGATAAAGAGATGCATGCGTAATGCATAAATGATGCTATACAATGCATAATGCATAAAATGATGCTATATAATGTATGTGATATATCATGAATGATGCACATGCACATGATAAAATGCGTGACAGTTAACAACCCAAAAACTAAGCTACCGCCATCCCCTGCCTAGCATGGGGGGGAGGTCAATAGCTTAGCTTTTGAATAATCAACTATCACATGAAACAACACAATCTGTGAAGTCTAAAAACGAGATCAACCTACCAAATCCAGTTCAAGTGAGCGTACCCGTTCGAGTGTAACTCAATGAACCTTTGGGAAATGATAGAACTGATTCTCATTTCTAAAAACCACAGACATGCATTGTTAATGAAATAACAGATGGATAATGATATGGTAGATGAATGCCACACATACGGACACATACGCACGCACAGAAGCTCGGAACAAGCCAATGCAAAAAGAACTTACGAAGGAAAAAAAAACACACAGAAAATGCAAAAGATCGCTACCAAGCAATACAACACAATTAGACCTAATCGCCACAAATGTGATCGTTCCTCCTTAAAAAAGGACTTTCAATTCCCGAATGGTACAGCAAAGCCTCTAAAAAGTAGGAAATAGGGAAACGAAAGGGGGGAAATGGGGAATAGAAGTTGAAGGGATATAGATGGCGACTTTGAAAAAAAAAAAAAACAAGCTGGCTTTCTGAACACAAATAGCAGGGAATTGGAGTAAACGGAAAAGAAGAGAAAAAAGGTAAGAAAAAAAGTCCAAAGAGCTACACGTAGGTAAGAATGGAAAAGTACAGAACAAAGGAAAGAAGAATGATCATCGAAAGGAGGGGAGAGGAAAAAAAATGCAGAGAGGGTGAATATACCTCATATTCAAAATGCTAAAAGTTTTTCTCCACTAAAATGAAAGGGAACGAGCGAAAGGCTTATGAACCTTGAAAACATGAAAAGGCTAAAATCTTTACAACCTAAAATCGAGAAGGCGATGTATAAAGAATGAATTACCAAATCGATATTACAATCTAGAGGTTGAAGGAAGAAAGATAGGACCGGAATTAGAAGCAGCTAATTATCTAGAGAATGTAACGAAAGTAAGGAGAATATAAAATAAAAAGCACCTGAGTTGTTGGTAAAAGAATTAGATAAGGAAGTTTTCATAAGTACGAACTCACCCACCTACAACTGGATCGCGCATAGTTGAATGAGAACAACCAATGAACGGGTAGAAAAGCTGAATAGAAATCAAGAAAATGGATAACACAAGTGTGGAATGGTAACAACAAGGCGCACAAGAAAGGAATGACGTGCTCCTCGGACGAAATAATGGCTGCTACGGCAAGGAATGGTGGATGTTTAAATTGACGTAGCAAGAACATAAGAAGTAAGGAAGTAAGAACGTCAAATAACAATGCAAATACGAGGTAAGGAAGTTGCAACGGAGGAAAGGGGTCAATGAAGAAACAGATGTACGGATGCAGGCTTATGAAAGAACTAAGGCTGACGACTTTACAACAAGCCTAGAACCCAAGCTTTAGTCAACTTGCATCCTTCAAAACCGGACAACACTAGAGTAAACGATCATGAGAAGTGTTTGAGACATGTTAGTCTAGCTCGTATTCTTCTAAGTTAAATCTACCTGAGAGATTAGGGCTCCTCTTACCTTAGTAGGAACTTGACTTAGTAGGTGGAGCGTAACTACCAGGGAGACCAGCGAGGGAGAGAAAGAAAGGGGTAGAACAAACCCTAGGGAAGTGTCAGATTCGTCGCAAATTATAATGCCGTTTGAATTTTATAGGGAAAGTTTTGCATCAGCGTTGGCGCAGTCGGTTGAACTTGAACGTGTGGAAAGGAAGACTCGAGATCGAATCCTGCGATTGCAAGTTTTGGTAACTCTGTCAACAAAGAGAAAGTACCCAATCTAGTGTCATACTACAGAATTATGTATAGTTTCTGAAGGTGTACACAATTGTGTACTTACGTAAAACGCTTCGCAACCCTACGACGACTTCGTCGCCTCTTTTTTTTTTTGGTAGGTGAAATAGCATTATACAACGTACAACGCAAAACACCGTCGGTCGTAACCGGGCTAGAGGGCCTAGGTATAGCATACCGTACCCTCGCGGAAGCATCTAAGGTGGTTTATAAATCAGGTGCCTAAAAATTGCAACCTGCCCGCTAGAGAAACCTACACTGCCACATTTCAGTTCCGTCAGAAACCCACTGTAGTTTTGCCAATTCTTCGGGTGATGGGGTTGGATTGGCGCAGCTGATGACTTCTCCATAGATCTGGGAACTTTCATGATGGAAATTGCCTGCCTTCGAAGACTCTTGGCTTGTGCCACAAAGCAGCGTTGCCGAGTGTGGTGAGGATGGGTTACAATAGATGCCCTGGTTCGAAATTGGTGCTTGACAGGGCCTTGGTGACGACGACTGTGACGGATCACAGTCGCAAACGCTCGAGGAAGTTGCATGAACTGTGTGACAGGAGCCACCCCGACTGCACGAGGAAAATTAGCAGTAGCTCCACTTCCGACCATTCTCTGACAGAAATCGTGAGGGAGATTTGCAGCCGCAGCCATCTCTTGAGTGCCTTGAGAGGTTCCATTTGAATCAAGCGTGGTCGTAGCATGGCGCCATAGATTATCGTCGTCAAGTTGCATGGAGACTTCTTGAGGGTTCTCCGTTATAGGATCTGCCAAAGTACCCCATCCAGCTCTTGTGAAGTTCGTAGTGTCGGCAGCATCAGCTTCCTCCCCCTCATGGCAATCCCGAGGTATGTTAGAAATAGTGACTTCTCCTTCTGTCGCAAAGCTCTGCTCTAAGATATCACCGATGGAATCTCTAGCTCCGAAAGCTCGTGACGAATCTCAAGCAGAAGCAGCTTGTGACGTGGCAAGGATCAATCAGGAGGTTCGAGCCACGAGAAGGGCTTGTTTATGAATCTCCGTCACGTGAAGTGCCTGACGTCAGGAGGATCAGTCTGCTTGTACACCCTCGTTCTCGCTAGACTGACCTCGGTTAGGGGAACTTGCAAGAAGAAACAGCATGGTGGAGAGCGGTGAAAGATGGTGCAATATGGTTCAGTAAGACTTTTCGAATATGACAAAATTCGCCTGCCAGACGCCCGCTGGTGAGATGACCGAGAATGAGGGTGTAGATCGGGTGTGGTTCTGGCTCGATACATTTCCGCACTGTGTATTGGAAAATCAACTCCGGCAAGCTCCAACTGGTTCATATGGCGTACAGAAATGGGGTTACTGTACCTTTGTTACCTTCGAGTGGTCGTCCGTTAATATGCCTCTCAAGAAGGAGATTTAGAGAATGTCACACTGTAAGATGGTGCTTTGAGATAGGAAACACCATTCAGACATTTGATGGTGAAGCGTCTGGTATGACCTCAGGCGAGGTCATTTCACATTTAATACGTTCATACCATAGAGTGGTATTTTATTGCAGTATTGACATGTGAAGTACGGTAGTACATGTGCGTAGCTTTGCAGAAAATCTCAAAGGTATGCTTTGTTTTATAAATTGCTCCAATCCATATCAGCTTCGATATAACTCTCCGCACAGGCTTTGCCGCCAATTCTCGACAGTGTTGTGAGACTGTCCCTCACACACACCTTTGCCAACCAACGTTAGCTCATCGTCATGCCACGCTATTTAGGGCGCGTGTCTTTTGGTTTTTATATGCAAAACTCGGATTTTTTGTTGAACTGTAGTCATTTGAACCTAGCTCGAGCTGGGCTCGAGTTTTCGCCAACTGCAAACCGAGCCGCGGTTCCACCCCTCCCGAAAATCACGCGACAAACAAAAGTTCAACTATCGAAGTTGAACTTTTGCAGCCCAGCCGAGCCGCGACCTACGCTTGTAGGTTACCCGGTTTGGGCTCTTGACATCGCGCCACGTAAGGCCTCGCGCTGACGAGCACCCTCGTGCGCACGATGCTAGCTGCGAGCGTCGCAGACTTCGCATCGTCGCTGTCAGTGATGAGGTGGACACACGCTCGCACATTCGTGCCAACCTGTTTGTTGATGAGGGTTCAACTTGGGAGCTCAACATTTTCCGATGCTGGAAGTGTACGTGGACACACGACGTCCTGGCGAATGTTTAAGCGAAATTAACGAATAGGGTAACCAGCAAAAGTTTAACCGAAATTCCGAACGTCTACACCAAAAGACACGCGCCCTTACAGTGTACAACCCGCCGTAGACACCCGCTGGGGCAGTCGGCCATGCCCTCGCTTAAAGCGGTTACGACCGATATTGTTTGTATGCATCAACTACACCATGTATACTTACAATTCAAACAAGAGGCGACGGAAGTCGTCGTAGGGTTGCGAAGCTTTTTCTTGAGGGGATTACTAGTGGGAAGTGTGAAATTGGAAAAACAATCGCTAAAATAAATTCCTGGTAAGGTGATGTCCAAGAGATTCGAATCTAAGACCATTCGGATTTTAGTTGACATTCAATTGACTGAGCTACATGCCCCATATCGGTTCGCGCGTTTTAACTTGACGTGAAGTATCAATGCGACGAAGTTTGCATTCCCTAGGGTTTCATTTCTTCCCTTTTTTTCTCGCTGCTTCCTCTTGCTCGCTTACTCTCCCCAGCAGCAGACGCTAGTTCTTGCTTGTCTTCTCTCCTAGACACACTGGTATGTTCGTTTTTTCCCTAGATTGCATCTTCGTCAGCTCAAGTATATAGTTGTCGCGATATAGTTCCCTTCAATTTCGTTTTCCAGCTATGACACTTTTTGTTTTTCTGGTCGTTATTTCATTTTCTCAACTTTGATTTCCACCTCATTGCTCAGTAACGTAGCCGTTTTCCTTATTCCTTTCTCTTCCGTTTTTACTCGTCGTAGTTTTCGTGCATACTCTATTTTCTACATTTTCTCTCTCTCTCTCTCTCTCTCTCTCTCTCTCTCTCTCTCTCTCTCTCTCTCTCTCTCTCTCTCTCTCTCTCTCTCTCTCCCTCTCTCTCTCTCTCTCTCTCTCTCTCGTTCTCTCTCTCTCTCTCTCTCTCTCTCTTCTCTCTCTCTCTCTCTCTCTCTCTCTCTCTCTCTCTCTCTCTCTCTCTCTCTCTCTCTCTCTCTCTCTCTCTCTCTCTCTCTCTCTCTCTCGTTCTCTCTTGATGTCTCTCTCTCTTTCTCTCGTTCTCTCTCTCGTTCTCTTTCTCTCTCGTTTTCTTTCTCTCTCTTCTCTCTCTCTCTCTCTCTCTCTCTCTCTCTCTCTCTCTCTCTCTCTCTCTCTCTCTCTCTCTCTCTCTCTCTCGCTCTCTCGTTCTCTCTCTCTCGTTCTCTCTCTCTCTTTCTCTCTCTCTCTCTCTCTCTCTCTCTCTCTCTCTCTCTCTCTCTCTCTCTCTCTCTCTCTCTCTCTCTCTCTCTCTCTCTCTCTCTCTCTCTCTCTCTCTCTCTCTCTCTCTCTGTGAAGCTAAGGTATATCGTTGTTTCCTGTTTTGTTACTTGCTCTGTTTTTTGCGTTCTGTTTTTTAACGTATAGCGTTGTTCATAATTTTTTTACCTTACCACCATTAGATTGCATTCTGTTTGGTTATTATAATATTCTCCTCATTTGACTTACTTTCTTTTCAATTTTCTCCACATTTTGATAATTCTTTTCTTCTCTCCCCTCTTCCTTCTTTCCCTCTCCTTCATTCGGTGCCTATTTGTTTTTCCAGATTTCCTTCTGGCTTTCGTTCCAGATGTGTACATCTGCCAAGATTACTTGTGAAGTGGATAGTAGTGGTAATCTGTAGGATTGTTTTGTATTGCATGTTTTGTTGTTTTTAGAGTTTTTTGCATTTACGGTTTTTTTTTCCGTTTGTGTGAATGTGTGTGATCTTGTATATGTGTTTGTATGTGTGTGTGTGTCTTTGTATGTGTGTGTGTGCTGTGGCTGTGTGCATTCATCCGTATCCATTGCAATAACAACGCACGTCTTTGATCTTTAAAAAGAAATCTCAAATCTATCATTTCACAAAAGGTTCATTGGCGCACTCAGTGACTCGTGTGCGACCACTTCGAACTGGATTTGATAGAGATAATTTTCTTTTTAGATTTCACAGATTGTGTTGTTTCATGTGGTAGTTGATTATTCAAAAGCTAAGCTATTTACCTCCCCCCCATGCTAGGCAGGGGATGGCGGTAGCTTAGTTTTTGGGTTTTTAACTGTCACGCATTTTACCATGTGCATGCGCATCATTCATGATATATCACACGCATTATATAGCATTATTTATGCATTATGCATTGTATAGCATCATTTATGCATTGTGCATGCATCAATTTATTATCACACAACACCATTCAACAGTAAAACATATACGGTAATGCAAACAGTACAGCAAATCTGCACTAAACAACTGCAAAAAAATCATATGGTCTAATACACTGTGAACAGTACCGTAGTCAAGACTGCTTAACATGCATACAGTATGGGAAGGGTATTACTGTAGTTTGCAAATTTTATTTTCATGTTTTAACAAAAAAATATAATCATGAAAATAAAATTTGGCAAAATCGATCGTAAAGGGTTGCTTCGCAACCCAAAAAAAACAAGAGGCGACGAAATCGTCTTAGGGTTGCGAAGCAACAAGTGTAACTTTCTAAAAGTTTTTTGAATGAAGTTGATCACATCGTCATATTTAAATTAGGAATATCTTTGCATTCTTTACCGGTATGTTCTTATGTGAATGTTGAGTTGAAGCTCTTAATTGTTCCTCAGTATTTACGTGGTAGACTTGATATTTTCTACATCAATAAGAACGTTTACATGAGTAGTTGTAGGTTTTATTTCTATGTTTACAGTTCTAGATTGTTTGTTGATGTATTATTTGAACGTTATTTCAAATTTCGGAGTGCTGACGTCAGCTTCGTCTCGGTGACGTCATCAGCGTTAGGTAATTCGCGCGAAATTTCGAACTTCGCTGCTGACGTCAGCTTCGAAATTTGCGCGAAATTTCGAAAGTCGCTGCTGACGTCAGACATAAATTCTCGCGCGAGAAAAACTGCTGACGTCAGCAGCGTCGCCCCAAATCAAATCGAGCGTTCGCTGCTGTTTTTCTCGCGCGTGAAATGTGGAGGGGGGGGGGGGGGGAGAACTGTCAGAATGTTGTAATTGTCTAGCCTGCAGTGGGGTACTCTATAGCGAGTACAACCCAAATTAGGGTTTCCTATATGTACCTTGCATGCTGCTAGTACAACCCCTCTTCTCTGTTCTATCTTTCGCACTACTATCTCGATATGGTAACAGAGCGTTCACGCTCCTGGCCTGTGGGCCCCACTGCTGCTTCCGCTGCCCTACTCTGTGTCGCGCGCCCCGTGGCGCGCGACCTTCACATTTTCATCCCGCCGCGCGCTCGGGGCGTGCGGCGGTTTTCTCCCCGCCGTGCGCACCGAGGCGCACGGCGGTTTCCTACCGTGGGGGACGCCCGCGGCCCCCCGATCCCGTCGCCCGCGGCCCTCCGGTCCCGTCGCCCGCGGCCCCGCGATCCCGTCGCCCTGGGGAGCCGCACGCGACCCCCCGCGGCCCCGTTTTCCCGTCGTGCCGCCCTGGGGAGCCGCGCGCGACCCCCCGCGGCCCCGATTTCCCGTCGTGCCGCCCTGGGGAGCCGCGCGCGACCCCTCGCGGCCCCGATTTCCCGTCGTGCCGCCCTGGGGAGCCGCGCGCGACCCCCCGCGGCCCCGATTTCCCGTCGTGCCGCCCTGGGGAGCCGCGCGCGACCCCCCCGCGGCCCCGATTTCCCGTCGCGCCGCCCTGGGGAGCCGCGCGCGGCCCCTCGCTGCCCCGTGGTCGCGTTCTGGGGGCCGAGCGCCGTCCCCCTCGCCGTCCCCCGCGCTCCTTCCCCCGTTCCGCCCGTTTTTAGGGTTTGGGGGTGCGGAGTGTGGGGGTGGCAGCTCTGGGGGTGCCGTGTGTGTGCGCCGTCCCCTGCTCCTCCTCCTCCTCCGTCTCCCACTGCTGCAGCTGCCGCTGAGGGGGGTGGATGTGTGGGAGCCGAGGTTTAGGGTTTAAGGGGGGTGCCGTGGAAGTGGAGCTAGGGTGTCAGCAGGGGGTGTGTGAGAGGGGCGTGGGACGGTCGGGGGAGGTTGCGTGGAAGTAGCCGTCGTGACGCCAGCAGCGCCAGTAGTCCGGATGCCCTCGCGCGTTTCGGTAGCCCAGCGAGCCTGCTTCGCCAGTTGCCTGTGGGTCAGTTGCTCCTGTGTGTGCTCGTCGTAGCCGCGGAGCCAGATACTCCCGTAGTCCGGTGCCCTCGTGCGCTCGGTAGCCACTGTGCACGCCGCTCCTGTTGCCCGTTGTGTCTGCAGCAGATCGCCCCTCACAGTCTCTCCTCCTCCTCACTTGCCCTCTGTGACTGCCTCTAGCTTTACTTGCATTTGTGGACTTGATCTATGACTGGTTATTTGCGCTGATTACACCCCACTTTGGCTATGGGGGTGTGTCAGAATGTTGTAATTGTCTAGCCTGCAGTGGGGTACTCTATAGCGAGTACAACCCAAATTAGGGTTTCCTATATGTACCTTGCATGCTGCTAGTACAACCCCTCTTCTCTGTTCTATCTTTCGCACTACTATCTCGATAAGAACGTCAGCAGAATATCTCGCGCGTGAAATGTGGAGGGGGAGGGGGCCGGGGGGGGGGGGGGGGGGGGGGGGGGGGGGGAAATGGGGGTTTCGTGAAACAGAACCTTTGGTCCTCTGTTTCACGTTGTTCTTCTTGTCGTAAGTGCTCATTGTGGCTGTTGTAACTGAAAAACGCCAGCTCACGTTTTTGTTTTTGTCTTGAAGATTGTCGTTTGTCTGCTCTGCTTTTGTCCTATATTTCGGTTGTAACTGTCAAATGAAAACGATTTTCAAGTAGAAAACAAAAAAACAGTTGTACAACTGTAATTTGTCAACAAATTGATTATGGACTATGAACTAGAAACAAGAAAAGAACATTGTTCTATTGGTTGTTTTGTTTCTAGCTCAATGCTTCCAACTGCTTTTTTGTCTAAGTGGACAGTAGCAATTACCTTACCATTGGTCAACATTGTGTCCAATCAAGAAAGGCTCTTCCACTTCTCCCTTCCCAAAGCATTACCTAGCTCTTTCTCCCTTTCTTTTCCATCCTTCTCTTACTCACACCAAACTCAAGATTTCCTTTAGCTTCTTCTATTGTTCTTCTTCACACCAAGCTCAACACATTCAAGACCTTCAAGGTACCTATCTAGTTAATAAGCTATCATTCAACTCTTGCCCCACGTTAAGTGAGTTGAGATATTCTTCTATTCTCTTAGTCACGTGCTTGGCTGTTTGGTGAAGATATGAGTTTCTAATCTAGTATTTTTTACTAAATTTCAACAATTCGATTTCAAACTTTTCCTGCTAGTCTCCACTTCTCATCACCTTTCATGATGTACCCTAGCTTATCTATCTAGAAGAAAGTTGAGCTCAATTCTTGTGTGTATTTATTAACCTCATGTGTTGACTTCTATGTTCCTGCATATACCAACATACAATCCAACACCCTGTTTTTTGTTCCTGAACGTGCTTATCTTATCAATCATCAACAGTTGGGTTACATCAGCATCTTCACTTCAGGCTGCACCGAATTTCAAAGTCTCCATTTGAAGTTTTTTTGGTACGATTTTGAGATTGCTTGTTTGTTAATTATATTGATTTACCCGCTTTTTATTTTTACTTTGTCTTTCAATTTAAGTCTCATGAAAAGTGCTGTTGTTCTTCATTCTGTTACTCTTCTCAGCAGGGAAAACAAGAACGGATCCACACCGTCAGCATTGAAATTGTGTCAGATTGTTCAGCATACCAAGGTCAAATTTGATGTTTGACTATGTTCACCAATGTTCTGAATTCATTAAGAACATAGTTGTATCACAACTATTCTGTTCAATATTTTCACCTTTTTAATGCTTGCTTCTACTTCTAATTTAAATGTATGTGTTTCTAACATTTGATACATATGTACTATACGTTTTGTGTACTGTCTTACAGCAACATAATCAAGATTCCGCATCATCCCTTCCGAAACTGGGAGTCTACTGAAATGTTGGCTGTAAGCATTCAAGCCATTTACATTGTTTTTTTTTTAATATACAATGTATTGTTATTTCATGGAGCAATTCTCATTTTGAGCAAGTTATTTGGTGGTGTAGCTGGTAAATAAATATATGCTTGTGTATATACTGTAGTACTATCTTGTCAAAATATATACATATATATCGTGCATCCATTTTGGTTTTTGTGTCAATTCCTTTGTCTCTGTGTTTTTCAGCGTGCGAACTTGGATTGGCGTCGGGGCATTTGAGGGAGCACTTCGTGACATTTGGAGATGGGCACTCCTGCACCTAGACTCTTTACGGGGGCTTCAATTGACGGTGCGTTAAGAAGAAGGTTTGTGTTTCGTAGAAGAAATGTACGTGGGGATGGGGCA